ACTCTCAGTTCTTCCAATTGAGGCAGAAAAATTACACACGACATGATTAAAGATGCATCTCATTATATTTAAGACACTGCACGTTGTATCAGTATTACCTTAAAAATCCTTGTTGTGGGTGTTTCATGTTTAAGCTCTAATAAACACTAACATGCACATGTATAATCAAAGGAACACTAAATCTCATGGTAAAAGTAAAAGGAAGGGAAGAAAGGTGATAAAGAAGGCATATGAACAAAGTAACATCCACAGATGATAATATCATGCAAGCCTGTACTCTCACTTCTTTTTTTAAGCAACTTGAGTCAATGCCTGCACTCGAGAACTGCTCACAGCCTTGCCTTCTTCGAATTGACTCTCAAACATATATCGACTCAATGCTAGAAACCTACTCCTTAACTTTAATAAAGTAGGTCTTTTTTCACCAGTGTGAGTGTCTGAAACATTGGGACCGGATCCCACGCAGTCTAGAGGTATGATGGTTGCCTCCGAGTCAAATGGTCCCAGGATCAAAACCTGCCAAAAAATTTGGTCTTTTGTCCTTTCCTGTTCTCTAGTCCTGTTCTGTCATGTTCAGCTTTCATCATCTCCAACTTCTTTCCACCACTACTGGCCTTCACTGTGCTCCTCTCTCTTTTACTCCTCACCCTTTCTACTGCTACTCCTGGCTCCTTTTAACTGCTCTACACTTTCAGTCACACCCCTGATCCTAGGGTAGGTGAGATTGAACCCAAAATGGCATTCTCAGATAAGAACAAACATATCAGACCGTGTGCAAGTTATGCATGATGTTTAAAGTTATCCCTTGGGGTCCTAAAAACGATAGAGAAGGCTTCAGCCATCACCCAGGGCAAAATTCAAAATTCAACTACCAAAACTGAAAACTCTAGAACGAAAGTCAGTATTAAATCATAAAACAATGTCGAGTGCTTCATACTTTCCAAATGGGAATATGTAGCTGCCTGAAGCCAAGGGATTCTACAAAGTAGGAAAAATGGTCATTTTTTACTCTAAAAATAAGTTGTCGTACTTTAGAAGAACACTAAGTAGTCAATTATCGATTTCTAGCAGGGGAAAGAAGGGAAGAAAAATTATTATTGAGACTGTAAAAATACCACACTCACTGAGTGTTATGAGTTTTAGTCAGGGATAATAGTTTACAGCATAACAATCAGTACTCAGTTAAACTCGCAGATTACAAAAAAGGCTAAAAACGAGTATTTCAATAAATTGTTTTTGGTACATCATTTTGAGGAAAGCTCTATAGATAAAACCTTTGTATACTAAACTAAATGCAATCAGTTGAGGATATTCTGTTTTAGCCCGCAATGATTACAACTTTACCAATAAGATTTCTGATTACTTATTAAATACAGTCGAACCTGCCCTGACGGCCACCTGTACAAACAGTCACTTTCCATTACCCCCCCCTTGCGTTTTTAAAATAAAATTTAACTATGTAAGGCACCTGTCCAACGCGGCTACAATATTTTTACATACCACCCCTATTACACCAAGCAATAACACCTGTCTTAGACGGCCACCTTAGTAACTCTATTACGTTTTGTCATTAATTGTGCATTGGCCCCTGGCGTTGAGGGCGAGCCGTCATAATCCAATCAACTGTTTGTTGTTAGGTAGTCCCTCCAACTGATCATGTTGCGTAGGCCCCTCCCACTGTTGATCAATAGGTAAAAAATGTTCAGCTGCTGGTGAGGTAAGCGTGCGATCCCTCATAATCCATAAGCCCGCCAAGACTTCATACACAAATTGTAAGTGAGATGAGCGGTCAATGTTACCCAGTCTGTAACAAAGTAGCAATGGACGTCAACATGAACTTGAGACAGAAGAGTCGCAAGAGTCGTTCGTTCTCTGAGCGGTGGCGACCAATGTGTTTGTTTTACCATAGCACTTGGTTCTCCTTGTCCGACACATTTGGTACAACAACTACAATGCAACTACCTTCGGTTGGGACCTCAGAAAGGAATGGTTTGTTTTTTCTTCATCTTGATCAGTCCTGCCTAAGACGGCCACCAGTCTTATACGGCCACTTTTCTCCTTGACAATCACCAATGGGTGGCCATCTTACACAAGTTCGACTGTAATGGGCTCCCGGACCCTTTTCAGGCCAACTTAAGAGGTTCTTTCACCCTTTGGTTATCTATCTTAAGGGGTATTTTTAAACCCTTGTTTTTAAAACTTAACGGGTTGTCGGTTGTTTTTGTTGGGGTTTTTTTTTGTGGAAGTGGCTATTCTCACGGGGTGAGAATAGAAATACGATCGACCTCTCACCCCGGGTGAGACTTGCCACCATAGGCTATTCTCACCCGGTGTGAAACAAGACCTGTTTTTCCTAATTTCGGAATACTTTCTATCGATATGGATGATCAAATGGATAAAGGCAAAGAAAAGATTACGTTATAGCACAAAAGTAAGCTAATTTTATCGACTACAAAGATGCTATGGCTATTTCACTTTTCGAATCGAGCCGAACTGCGGGGGCCGCCATTTTGTTTTGCCCGGAAGTTCTCGCAAGATCTACTCCTCCCCTCTTCTCTCTCTCTTTCTGAATACTGTCTATCGGTGTGGACGATCAAATTGACCAAAAAACAAAGTTAAAAAATGATGTTAAAACACAAAAGTAAATTAATTTGGTCCTCTACAAAGATGCTACGGCTATTAACTTTTCGAATCGAGCAGAACTACGCGGGTCGCCATTTTGTATTGCCCGGAAGTTCTCGCGCTACTCCCCTCTCTCTCTCTTTCTCCACTGCCCACAGACAAAATTGTACGTTTTTAGTAGGCTAACAGTACTAGTAATGGAACGTTTGTTCACGGCACAGAATTACAATTTTTTTGTTATCACAGAGTAGAATTCTGTGGTTTAGGGTGAACGCAAAATTGGCTGGCCTAGATCTAGGCTATAACGGTGAACACGCACCGGGTGAGAATAGCCAAAAGACTCGCCTGCACTATTCTCACCCGCGGTGAGAATAGAGGTGGCCTTTTTTTGTTCATGTCTGACACAAACTATAAACTATAATCCTCAAAAGTCAATTACCTCCTTATTTTAGTTAGTTTTAGTAGAGTTTTACGGCACTTGCAACACAATTTTAGGTCATAGTTTAATTTAACTGTAACAACAAGAATTAAATGAGTAATATCAACTAGAATTAGAGTTATGTCCCCTTGGAGGGCGGAAGGGTGGTGGTGGTTCGGCCAGTCAAAAATAATAAAATAAAGTTGATCATTTAATTTTAAAGTTGACAAACCAAAAGGGGTTGATTCCGATTGTAATACTGTAATGCTAAAGAAAATAAACTTTAATCCGTTATTCTTCAGAGCCATCCCAGGGTTCACATTCCAGTCTTTCGAGACTTTCGATTTTTCTCCCTCATGAAAATCTCACTGCCTCCTGGATCACTTCCTTTTCATAAAATGAAATTGCCTCATATGACATGAATCGCTGAGTAGGTCGACTGCTTCTGACAGAGTGACTGCCGTGTGTGTAGGTGTGTTGTCAAATCATTGACTTGGCTTCGGGATAGAGAAGGGGGACAATTATGCTTGTCAGACGCACACCATCTACGCGTTAAAACGTCATGCAAACCCCCGAAACGAAATTTTAAAGAGTAATACGCTCACGCACAGCCAAAACTTTAAGGGGTAATCTGCATTTAATGCGTAATATAACGCACATCTGTGCGTAATGGGGAGCCCTGCTTATAATACTATAAAACTAGCACCCTCCCTAATTAAGTCTTACAATCCTACCCCTACTACTCTAACCACCCAACCCTTACACACACTAAATCTAACTCTAACCCTATATATAGACTTTACTCAAGAGGCCAAAACCGGTGACTGCCTTCAGTTGCATTTGTTTACTAACAAGTGTTCTAGTGGAACGATTTCCGTCGAGCGACCATTCCAATATAAACACTTATTATAAGAAAGAGACCTAACCCTAGCCATCCTTCGCCTTTCCCCTAGAACTCTCTCTAAGCTCAAACTCAAAGAGGTCACTTTCCTGCCCTTCTAGCACATTCATCTGATCAACATCACCCATCTCAGACCAGGCACTAGATCTAGATCCACGTATGATCCACTGGCATTTTGGGAATAAAAGTTTACGGGTTTGTTTGATTTTTTAATTTTTTTTTTAGTTTTAAGGTTGGGGAAGATTTATGAGGCAGTGAAGTAGGAAAATTATAGAGACTAGAACAGACTTAATAAAAATAGAGGAAAACGCTTCTTAGGCAATGAGATGGATGGTGGGCTGGTGTGGTGGACAGGAGGAGAAATGGTCATTGCAACTTCAAGACCAAGACAGAGTTACGACTACTGTTATACTGTTCTACGGACAGTGGGAGAGAGGCCTGGGTCTAGTCTCTACTCTCTAGATTTCTAGATCTAGGGGAAAAGAGGGAGGGGGCATCCTGATAAACAATGTTGACATGACTCATTGTAATTTGTAACACAAATAGCAATTTCAAACTCAAACACCCTCTCGTAACCATGACAAAAGCTGTACACGTTATGATTCTGCACGAAAAGAAACCATTCTTAAAACAATCACTACAAATAAACTAGAATCTAGAGTAGAGAGGCACCCTCGATTTCTAAAATCGATGGTTGTTGAGTTGCAGCGTCATCTAGCGAGGAAATCGATTGATATTGGTTTTCCAAGATGTCATCGAGATTTCTACATCAACACTAAAACTGCTACTTACCCGAAAAGATACAAATACTCTAGATCAACACTCAGAATCGTAATAAAGCATCCAAAGAGTGTGCAATGTTCGACAATTGGTATTCTAAACTTAGTGTCGTGATCCCACCACAGTTCCTCCAAGCCATCCCTCTCAAGGCTACCCAGTCCAACAGAGACGAGAACGAACGAACGAAGGGCTCGACTTGTTCGTGTGACGTCACCTCTGGAAGATGAGGGAGGGTGAAATTTTGGATCAAGGCGGAAAAGACCAAGGACGAGGAAACTGCATTCACTTTATAAATCTGCAGAGTTGTTTTGTTTTGTTTGTCATTATTCTTTTCTTCTCCAAACAAACAAAAATAGCAATTACAGATATCCATTGGTAAAGTCCACCCACTCTTACGGGCAAAAAGAACGATAGGCTAGTAATTTTTTTCCTATTACGGCATTGCATCAATTTAGTCTATTCGTGTATAATCAGAAGAAGAGAACCTTCGACTGGCATCATGAACAATTGTTCATCCTATATTTTATGTCTTATTCATTTACTTGTATTAAACGGATCTTCTCGGAAGTGTTGGCCACAGATATATGAAGGTATGTATCCATGAAAATAACTAAGGGCGCTATCCTCGGTGCAGAATGGTATTTATAAATCATTTTAATGTGCTTTTTTCATCGATCACAAAGCTCTTTAAATTAACGATTGAAATTAAATTTGAAGACTGTATGAGCTGACATTTCAAAATTTTACTCAGTAATTTGTTTTTCTTAGAAGATACTAGAGGTGAACAGGCTAAAACAACAACAAAATCTTTTCTGAACATATCTTTCCAACGCGCAATGCTGACTTCCACCATGCACACTCTTTAATTATGAAGAATTGACTTAGTTTGAACTATAATGTTATTTTTTACGTTCCAATTTTCACAAACTACCCTCACAAAGGAATTCAACATTGTGTATTTGTAATATGTCGAATTTAAACAAAATCACCAAGTTTTGAATGAAAGAGAGAAAGGGAGGGCGTAATGAGAAGGTTGGGGAGGGGGGGGGGGCGCGAATGTATAAGTTGTCGAAATTTAACCAAGACGAAGAAACCGAAAGTAAGTTATACTTTTTAATTGGACAAGAGAGTAAACAAACGAGCTCGTTTGTTTGGAGAAACCAAAAAGACTGCTACTGTATCCAACAAACAACATGGCGGATAACTGGTTTCAGTCTTTACGTTCTGCTCAAAAGACGTGCCTAATTCAAGACGGTATTGATTATTAATGTGTTCTCATTCTGTCTAGTTGAAACTAAGGCTGCTGTCATTTTAGAGTGTGACAGGACTGCATGGTCTTGATGAGTAAATGCGAAGTTTCTATTCTATTTGAATCTGACTTGGAACATTTTGAATGGTGCCGAAAGTTCGAGATGTGTCATTCTCATACCGTGTATGTTGTTGAGCATGCTGTGTCTTGAAACCTCATACTTCTGTTTTACGAAAGACGGATTGACATTTTTAGGTCTCTTTTCTATAAGGCCTAGTAACTGTCGCTATTTATTTCCATCCCTTATAATTCTTTGTTCCCTTCATTGTCAACCATTTTTTGTGTTCTACTTTCATTTCCATTTGAATAGAAATAGTACATCTAATATCTAGATCTAGATCTAGATCTAGATCTAATCTAGTACGATGTAAATATGTCAGTCACAGTATGAGTCATTTTCAAATGTTAACTATTCGCTACGTATTATTTTCGGCTTGTGGACGAATTTTTTTCAGGAGGGCGAATGAGATGAATCATGATGACTAGTGGGCAGTTAAAAAAGGTCTTTGGGCCACAAATTCAAATAAATATCAACATATTATATACCAATATTTTCAGTATTGATTGTAGAATACATCTGTAATGTTTATTTATGTATTTTTCAACTTTGGTTCCTGTAAGAGGCGATTATGCAACACAATTTTGATTGGAAGCGGATAAAATTTGAAAATAAAAACTTTATTCTTTGGTGAAACTCAAAAAATATGGTTGCACGTAGTCAAATGATACATCAAAATAACCATAAATGAACATAGAACTGGAAAATATTGAAAAGTTTGCAGTTATTTACATACATTCCATAACATTTGTACATTTGGATCATGACATCCGATTGAAAAAAAATAAATGTTTTATAATCTTGAAAAACGATCACAAACAGAAAAAAAAAACACTCGTATCTTATATGGAATTATTCAGAATTGCATTTGGAATAAACCTATACATGTTTTGAGTGGCACTTGTGTAATTTCATCAAAAAGTAGTGATTTTGGGGAGAAAAAAATATTTTGACAATTTAGATCTAGACCTCCTAGAGATCTAGCACTCAAAAATATTGATTTCTCAAAAACAGTGCATTGGCAATATGAGTCCAATTGTATCAATATTATAAAATAGAGTACTACACTTCTTTAGTGGGCAAAATAATGATATATTTTGTTGTGTAAAATTACTAAGACTGGTGTCCGGGCTATAATTTTGGCATCGCGGAAAACAAAGTCGAATAAACTAGGCCTACGAAATCGCGTTTCAAAACTGAATCTAAACTTCCGATTTTCAGTGGAAATGCTTGACCCGGAAGTCAACAATATATTGTGACCTTTATTTTAACATGGATGTGGATTGGAATAGAATCTAAGCTAAAATTGAAGATCGTTTCTCGAGCCGCCGGGGGCGGCTTAGCGTACTGACGGCACTTTAGCCGCGCCGCCCCCCACGGCTCGGCGTAGCGAATGAGTTAATAGCACTGCCAATAATATCATTTTAAACTGTAGCAAGAAGTGTTTACCCATGAAGTTTTTTTGTTTATTAAATTATGGTTTTATATTTGAGCCACAGAAATAAAAAGGAGAACTACAATGGCTAAGGCTAGTTTCAATAAAATGAGCCCAATCCTGAAAAATAGAAACATCTTAATGAACACCAAAATGAAAGTCCTGAAATGCTTTGTTTGATCAACCCTTCTATATGGCTGTGAATGCTGGATAATCACTAAAGACAGTGAAAATAAAATAGAAGCAACAGAAATGTGGTTTCTTAGGAGACTGCTAAGAGTATTGTGGAAGGAAAAGAAATCAAATGAAGGAAACGACAAATGCAGTTTTTGGGACACCTGAATAGACATAAGGGTCTTGAACATCTAGCTCTCACTGGCAAAATTGAGGGCAAGCGAGGCAGGGGTAGGCCCAGAACAACATACTTAGGGAACCTAAACAAATGGGTAACAGGAAAAGATCAGGGAAACGTAGCTTTTTTGAGAGCATCCAAGCGAAGGAATGAATGGAAAACCATGATCGCCGATGTCTGTCGCAGATCTGGCACTGGATGATGATGATGATGATATTAAAGCCATTGCCAAAACATGGGGAAAAACACATACGCATCTCAGATTAGTGTGCATAAAATGTGATTCTTTAGTATTTATTCCTCCAAAACTTATACACATGTCAAATATAGGATGTAGAAGCTGCATAAGCAGTTTCAGACCCCTTGTCAGGATTACAATCTTGATCAGTTTTTGTAAATTTTGTGCCTAAAATGTTCGTTTTTTAGTGATTCCTGGACTATCATTTTGAGCACACCAATCAAAACTTCCAAGAATGTCCCAAATTCAGTATTTTGGGTTGGTTTATTTTAATGTGTACTTTGTTCGTATGCTATTTGTCATCGAGAAAGGTTCATTTACTCAGGAAATCGGTTTATTTGTTTGCAAATAAAGGAATAATTCAGATTACTTGTCCGTTCGTTGTGTCATCACGGGCTAGGTGTTTCAGAAACAGCATTTTATATTCCTAAGAATCACCTTAACTGTTTAAATCTTTTTGCTTTTTGTCGTTTATTCAATACTTCAAAAGCTGTGATGTGCAAAAGGAACAACAGATGCCTAGATCTACAATTTTGGTCGGCTGTTTAACCTTCGCTATGATCTTCGTCATTTCGTGACGTACCGGAAATCCGAATTTTGACACACTTTTGTTTTGAACGGATCATCAACAGTGCCCGGATATAATTGTTTTCTACAGTAACTTCTCCTTATCGGGTTCTGCAGAACAGCGGAAGCAACGGTGGAAAAGGAAAAACGAAAGTATTCATTATTGTGGTCATTGTTCGGTGACGCACTAGTAATCTAACGTTGAATGTGATGTACATGACTGTTTTGCATTTTTTTTATGCTACCTGTTTTTTGTTTTGTTTTAGTAGAGGTTTTTCGGCGCTTGCAACTGCATAAGGTCATATGAATGCCAGAAGATTAGAGGTGTTATAAGAGAGTAAAAAAATAAAAGAAGGAGGGGAGATAAGGACGATAGATGTTTGATAGGAAATAAGGACGATAGATGTTTCATAGGAAAGAAGAACCAAACCACACCAGAGCACCCGCCAACCACCCACCCTGTTGAATATTTTAGTGAAATTGTGGTGTTTACTTTGGGCTCCTGGAACAAGAGTGTGATGTGTGAACAAACTTCGAGAGATGGATAATTTCTGTGGTTATAGGTAAATTTAGCTTGTGCTCACGCAGACATACAAGACTGACGGACGTAAGAAATTAAATTGTCCTAACAGCAAGCATTTTTTACGTTATTTGCTTCTCTTACTCAAACAAATAAACAAACGTGTCCTTGTAATTGTTTATAAATCTGTGTAACTAAAAAAATACACATTTGTTCTTTTTTGACATGATATGCCTTTTTCCAATCATTGTGCAATTGTGTCGTCATTGTTATACATGTGCAAGTAATGTTTGTCATCATTGGTAATATCAATAAAAGTTTTCAACATATATTTCGTTCATGCATGATTCATTCAGGAGCAAAATACTTCCTTATTGATTTGTGTATTTCATAGTGCACATTTGTTCTTTGTAGGCATGATTTTACCTTTTTCCAGTATGTTATGTCATCACTGACCACGGCATCCAAAATTCCATCTCAGCGATCTTTTAGTTTGTCCAGGCCCCCAGAAGTTAGTCATTTATATATATAAATCACCGGCAGGTGACCTGCGATTTCACTCGTCAGGTCGGGGATTGACCGGGGTCAACTCGTGCACAGCGCTGTCCTATCTTGTCCTTATCAGAACACGTTTCATCCCCTAATTTCATGAGCCGTAAAATGATGCTCATTCTACCCTTACAATCTATTTCTTCACCAATTTCGCTTCGTCTACGTCTTCTTGGTATCTTGTGAAAGTTTCAACAGTTTTCATTGATTCGTTTGGGAATAAAAGCTTTAAATTGTGAGTGTTGAGTGATCGGAAGTGCCGTTAATAATGTGATCTCTTCAAATTTAATTACAAGTCATTCCAAAATGAAGCATTGGTGTTTATTTCTGTTTGCGCCGTGGGATAGCCATCAAATAATATTTTCTAATGATGTGAATTTTGTTTTTCCAGCACTTTGCTGTGACTGGCAATCAGTGAGTGAATTGTGTTCCTAAGTAAAAATTGTTAAACTGCAATTGGTCGGTCACACATATGAGAGGTATAGAGAGTCTCTGAATGAACTTTGTCGGGTGTGTTGGCGTTTAAATTTAACTGTCAAACAAAAAAAGTACTGAAAGCCACGATTATGTAAGACAAAGTCAGGAGATATTCTCTTGATTTATGGGATTGATGTGAGGGACGAAGATGAACAGTCGTATTCTGCTAACATTTGTGTCAAGTGTTTTACCGCGATTTAAAATATCAAAAGGAGATATGGTGTTACGTCACGTCAATTCATGCCGCAAAAAAGCTGTTGACGCTAGAAGGAACATGTGGTGTGCGTTTGACAGTAACATAAATGTGAATTCCTGCTCCGTTTGTCGGCATCGCTTTGGTGGCTGCATACAAAAGATCCATTTCAAGCAAACTTCGCAACACACCCCAAACATACCTCCATCCCCACGTATACAAGGAACTGACAAACACAATTTGTACAGAAACAAAATACTCTCGCGAAACTGCTAAAATTGAGGAAACAAGTGGACTGGAAGCAATATTCAATCTTCTCAATGAAAGATTTAGCCATGTTCACACTGCAATATCACATCATCTCAAACCAGTCAAACAATTTTCACTTCCAGGAATCCTCGTAGCAATCGACAATTACATGGCCGCATTCAGACGCTATTTCCCCGCAAAGTTATCCCAAAGCTACGCATATCATAGCAAAACTGTATTCCACACATACAACAACACATGTTTGCTCTCGGACTTTTGAGAAAACAGGACACAGAAAGCAGCCACCTAGCGATCTCAAAACTGGAAGCCACATTGTGTCATCATTGTTATGTACAAGTCATGTTTGTCATCACTGTTATGTACAGGTCAGCCCCATTGATTTTGTGCTTTAGTCTCTTATTAGTTTAAAATTGTTTTACAGTGTTTTTCTGGTATTGAGGCTTTAATAAATGTATTTGCACAGCCTTTCACTATTGTGATGTATTGTCAATGATAATGTCCAATGTGTATCCTTTCTTGTACGTAACAATGATGACATGTTCTGTGACCATGTCATTGTTACAATGCTTGTCATTAATGTTACCCTTTTGAATGGAGTTCATAGTGTATAACGTCTTTGTTTCCTAAACAAATAGAATTTTAAGTCTATAATTTGCTTTGCTGCTTATCTGTTTTTGCCATCACTGTTACATACGATGACAAGAAATACAGTGGTTGCCAAGCCAATAGACCCATATCTCCAAAACCCTATCTCTGCTTGCATGTCATGATACTTCCAGAATATGAGCACTAAATTTTAATTTGGGACTGATAGAAAAGGGAGTCAAGTTGCACATGTTAAAGATCCCTTGGTGATTGAATATCATAAAAAAATGTTTTGGCACCACTGAATCTCAAGACATCAGAAGGGTCTCCATACCAATGTCTATAATGTAATGATTAGATGCTTTGCTATTGCTTGAAGAAGATATGAGTTTGATTTCCAGGTGCTTTTGTTGTTGTTATTGTTTTGGGTTCTTTAAGATCAAGTTTCTCTATCTGACTGCTGGGATGCTGATATTATATTTATAAATTTATAGGCCTATATCCCTCTCACCCCATGTTGATCCGGACAGGCAGGTTAGACACAGCCAGCCTATTAAGAATTATCTAAAATTGTGTTGATGGGGATGTAAAACATCTATATAGGTTTAGATCCAGTCCGTGCCGGTTTGTCTAATTGTCTCATCCATTACTTTTTTATCCACCTCTTCCTCTTCGTTTGATCTTTTTTCTTTGTTAGATAAAAAAGAATTTTTCACTCACTCACTCACTCACCCACACGCACACACTCACTCACTCACTCACTCAATTTCCTTCTTCCTCCACACCCCTGATCTCGAGGTAGAGGTAAGATTGGGCACCTTGTCTTTTCGGTATCAGTACAAAAATGGAAGAGGTCCCTTGTGCATGTTGCACATGTTAAAGATCCCTTGGTGATTGAATATCATAAAAGAGTAGGCCATTACACCATCACACAGCCAAAATGTATAGTTAAGGAACTCCTTACCATGAAGATTATCCATGTCACACCTGTAAATAGTAGGTCACTCTCTCTTCCCTGGTCTCTGATTTGGTTTAAAATTACAGGAAATTTTAGGGGGGGGGGGAGGGGGAGTGAAAAATAGCCGTTTGTACAGATAGCCATGTATATAGGTGGCTGTCATGGCAAGTTTGACTGTATGTTCACCATTCATTATTATAGGCGATTTTTGGTTCTTGTAGAGCCCTCCTACAAGTGAGACCATGTTTTTGGGGTAGCTCATCTGTAGCATCATTTCTAGTAGTTGACTGTGAATGATGGCAGCAAAAGCCATTCTGTCTACCTTTGACTGTAGAGTGAACAATTGTTGAAGACTCACCCATCCAGACCTGCCTCATATTTTATGATCTTCATGAAATACCTTACTTTTGACCAAGCAAGGGCAATTTCATTCATTAAAGCTACAGGACTCCTGATAAGATTGGAAGTGCTTTTAGAAAAAAGAACTGTTGGTGTTTGTCTTGAAATGTATATATACAGTCGAACCTGCCATTATGGCCACCTGTACAAACGGCCACTTTCCATTTTCCCATGTGCGTTTTTTCTTTATAATTTAAATGTGTAAAACGGTCACCTGTCCATCACGGCCGTGACCACCTTATTTAATCGACCAATTGTCAAATTTACCTGCATCAGGCGGCCAGGCGTGGTCTCTCAATCAATGCCCAACGCTTTGTCAAAAATTTTGAATCGGCCTCTCACTCTGTGGACGGACCATCATAATTTTTTCGCCTGTCATTATTGTTAGTCCCTCCAATGTATGTTTACCCAAGTTAACCGATGGCTAAGCCTAGCAATAAATTGTCAACTGCTGATGAGGGTAGCATGATCCGTCATAACCTATAAGCCCCGCCCACGACTTACTCATGCACAAATCGTGTGAGGTGACTGGTCACTGTTGTGTTTACCTAATCTGTAACAAAATAACAATGGACATTGACATGAACTTGCGACTGAAGTGTCACTCTTTCCCTGAGTGGTGGCGACCCTTGTGTTTATTTTACCATCGATCGCGCTCGGTCTTCATCGTCTAACATAATATTTTGTTTTTTTAACCCTTGCAAAAATCAACAGCAAAAAGAAAGCTTTCCAAAGAAACAAACTGTCAAAACAACACCAAAAACCCTTCTTACATCACCCACCCCCCTTTTTCTGAAAAAAAAAACCCTTTTGAATTAGCCTTAATTTAAGGCAGTCTAAAGTCTGAGATCAGCCCTGGTTTTGACCTCGGAAGAGAATGATTTGGTTTTTTTCATTTTGATCAGTCCTGCCTAAGATGGCCACCTGTGTTATACGGACACTTTTCTCCTTGATAATAGGTAGCCATTTTACACAGGTGTGAATGTATCTATAGATGATATATATATGTCACGACGCAGTGGAATCAGCCGCTCGTAAATTTTTGGGCCTATGGAGTTATTGGTATCATCATAAATGTTGTTCATTTGCCTTGCTTTCTGTGAAAAAAAATATATTTATCTGGAATAGAAGTCAAGATATTTGCGATTGAAGAAGGTGGGGTCACCTGTTTTCTTCAGAGCTAAAATTAGCAAGAAAATGGCCACCAAAGTTTGGTGACTTCCATAGCTTAAGAGTCCTTGGAAACTGCAAATTTAGATGTGTATTGCCTTTTATCAACTTTTTTCCATAAAGTCCACACACAAAAGTTTTTTGAACTGACATACAAGGTGTTGAGCCAAAAAGCAAAAATGCGGAAAAAAATGTCCAAACTTGCCGAAAAATGCTGATTTCCCAGATCAGGCGTTCGTAGAAACAGTAGATTTTCCATCGGTTTGGCAGTTTTTCTCAAATTTTTGTTTTTTGGCTCCACATCTTTACGTCCATTTAAAAATATATTTTTGGGTGGATTTTACTGAAAAATATTAATTTAAGGCACAAAAAAATTAAATATTCAATTTTCAGATTCTAAGGATTCTCCAACTGTGGTGGAAATCATCAAACTTTGGCAGTCATTTTCTTGCTAATTTTACCTCTGACACCAGGCAACCATCATGTCCTCCAATCACAAATATCCAACTTCTATTCAGGATAGATGGGTATTTTTTTCATCATAAGCAAGACAAATGAACTAGGTTTAAGAGGATACCAAAGCTCTTCGTCCAAAATTTGACGAGCACCTGATTCCACCATATTGTGACACTTAATTTAAGGTACAATATGATATCATACACCTTTAAAATGAAAATCAGCTAAGAGCTTAATCTTGTAATAATTATTTGCAGTTGAGCTTAAACTTAAATATATCTGAAACTCAACAGAGCTTATAAAAGTCATTTGATTTGAGTTTGTCCTGGTTCAAATATGTATTACAAAAATGTAGTGCTGATTGCTACTATATTGCATGGGATTGCACTGTACAATGTGTTCTTTGTCCAAAATTATTTAAGAGCAATTAAGGGTTAATATTATCTTTGTGCTGTATTCTAATCTATAATTTTGTTAATCTATTGTTATTTTCTTCTTCTAATAAGGGAGACGGAAAATCCACTTTACATTTACTGATGGATCTGAGCTAGCTGAGGAATATGACTTCAAGTCTGATGAATTAATAGGTACTGTATCCCTCTGTTGATTTTGCTGAGCATATTGCTCATAACCAGAGCATTACTGTTTTAATATTAATATAAATTGAAGGTTTATCCTGTTCATTACGTTTTATAGAACTATAAGACCTAGCGTATTTCTCTTGAAGTATGAAAAGACACATTTACTTTACATTCAGTCTGAGCTATCTTTATTTGCTATTGTGCAGGTCTTTTTACTTCGTTGGAACGTTTTTAAACCTTTGTCTTTTTGCTTAGAATTGCTTTACTGTATTAGTTTAAGAAGTTTAAGGTATTTACTTAAATTCAAATGACTGAATTACTGTCAGTCTCAACTACCGTCTGTAGTAAATGCTATATTAAAAGTATTCTAAATCCTTCAACATAATTTCATCGACAAAGTTTGATTCTGTATTTATAGTCATGTTTTTAAGGTTATGATATGAGAGAAAAGTTTTTCGAAGGCATTTTGAACTTTTACTGAAAGTATTAGTGATGTTTTGTCTCCCTTTATTTCCTCAGTGCGAAAATGGAAAAGGAAAGGAACTTTAGGAGGCCATGGCAGATGGGAGATGGAAGTAGGGGAACAGCATGCACCTGTGAATTTAGATGTTGAAGGTCTGGTTGAGAGCAATGTCAATGTAAGTCTTTCAAGGCTCAGAATTCCTCCTCTTTTTTTGATATATATACTTGTTCCATAGCTAATTTAACTAATTATGATCCTTCGTGGTACAGGAAAAATGCATTTGTAATCATAAGTAGAATCTTACTGGTTTTATGCTAGAAAATGATAAAATAATTCATTTTTGGACATATTTTACTGTATTCTTTTACAATGATATAGTATAAAGATAGATACTGGACCCGGTTTAGCCCTAGTCTGGTGCTCTCGATAAAGTTTCTTCTTCTGAAGTTGCCAATTTTTATCTCTTTTTGTTTTGCTCTTATTTCTTTTCATACATATCTTTAGGAATTTTTGTTAATGGAAAGAGGCGTTTTCCTGTGCAAACTCATAACAACATGGCTTGAAATGAGCTGTCAATTTTTCCTCAGCTTCTTGACTTTGTCGATTTAAAACTTTTACATGTAAGTGTAGATTAACATTATCAACTGGTTTTCATTCTTTTGGCACTCAGCTGAATCTTTTAAGATGTAGCAAAATGTGATATTTGTGCAGTGGTGGGGCGTAGTGAAGGGCTTAAGGGCTTGAGCCCCCACCCCCTTCTCTTTCCCTACACAAATGAATGTTTCTTCTAATAAACGAAATAATAATCAGTTGAAATTGTTAAAACTGCTTCAGAATCTTACGCCGCCTCTATTGCATAGAGTGAACACACACACTTGCTCCTTTATCCAATCACTGTTGTCACTGCTTACAACGATATTAACCTGACAGCCCATCAGGTTTCATCAGGACTCAGCAAAGGATAAGCCCTTTCCCACGGACCTTCTTAATAAAACTCTTCTTGAAAAAAGGTTAAAGAAACAAACGAGAGCCTGCGGAAACTGTTGCTGGAGAGGGCTCGTTCTCTGCAAGCCCTGACAATTTGGGGGGGGTGGGGGGGAGGGGGAGTTCATTTCATGACACACTTTCCCCAGAGACCCAGTAACCTAAACACAATCATAGGCCCTTGTTAAGAATGCCTTACTTTCTGCGACTATGACGGCCTAATCCAGTGACTGTTGTTCAGTAGTCTTCGCCTAAACGCACGCCGTACAAAAGCAGGCTCCGCTGAAACGCACACTTCCGTCATCTGACGGGTTTTTTATTATATAATTTAGACGTACAAATGCACGGTCATTTCTTCTAAACACACGTTCTGATCCGTGAAACACGCCGACAGGTAAAGCTTGAAAAGGGGAAATTTCCACTGACAAATAATAGGTCTTGGACTGATCGGTGATATGTTAAGGGGTTGGGGACTGAAATGTTTTTTTATTGGTTACTGGAAATGCATCTTTGAAAAAAGGTGTCTGACTGGTGCTTGGGTAACTGAATGTAATGTTTAGTTAGACCTAGGCTTATGAAGCGCAACACGCGTGAATGCTGTAAAACACTAGATAGGCCTCTGTAGGATTTAAGATTAATCAAGTAAGCCTAATCATGTGCTCGAAGAACTTATAACGTATTTGTTCAACGAATCACAAGAGAAATGTTTCTCTGAATGTAGAGATTTATATTTTGATGTCATTCATGAATTTACAGTCGGGTTTGGTTGCTTGGAAAGCCATGTGTCTGCGCCGTCGTCTCTATGACTATCTCCAACAGTTTTCTCTCAGGCTATCCCGACATTTTATGGTGCATATCATTACATTGAGTCTGTTTTTCTGCCCCTTCCACCCATTCAACGCCTTTGTATTTTTAACCGCAGTCAGGGAATCTTTCACAAAACAGTAACGTTTCGTCACATTATAGGCCAAAGTGACCCCCACCCCAAAGGGAGGTCGCTAGAATATCAAAGCAATGAGATGACTGCGTCCCTTCCTCCCCTTGCAAAGGTTCATGTAAACGCACGCTCCGTATAAACACAGGCTAAGGAGCCCTCCCGAGCACCGTACGTTTAGGCGGAGACTATTGTATGCATTTTGCGTGTTTTTTGGTAAGTGCTTTATGGCGCTTGTAACTGCATTAGGTCATATGAACCCTTTTGTCTGTAAGTGTGTATAAAACATACTCACACATATATCTAGAATGTCCTCTGAACCAAGGAAATTTTATCTTTGAACTCAATCTACCCTCATTTCTTAGCCGCACCCACTGCAACTGTAGTTGTGTATACTATATTTCTTATGGCTAGACATGTTGGTTTTCTTATGATTGTGTTGAAGTAAGAAGTTTTCATTTTCCCATTTAACAGCTTTTTGGAGAGTTTGAAAATATGTGTACTTAATTTTGAATTCAAATTATGCATTGACCTTAAGCTATATATTACTTTATCTATTTCTTGCTGGCAGCCTATTTTTGTTCGCAAAGACACCAAGTCACATTACCAGTGGAGGATCAGGAACCTTCCATATCCCATTGCCAACTATAATGTTACAGTGAAACAAGAGGACAGACAAATTGTCATATCAACTGTGAACAAAAAGTAAGTCCTTATTTTTTCATCTTCCTATAGGATCCTTCTGTTTCTTCTTAAAAGCAAAAGATATGTGAGTTTGTGCCCGCAGAAAGGTCCCAGTTGTCAGAAAATTTGGATATTGAAATAAGGGCATATTCTTGTAGCAAATTCAATGCTGAACATGCTGATTTAAAAAATTTTCCAGATATCTTGAGTAGTTTTAAAGATATGCCATACAAAATTATTTTGTAACTCAAGGTGTAAAATCAAAGTTTGGAGAAGAACCCACTTTCTAGCACATTTTTAGCTTTTGGTGAAATACAACATTTTGCAAGAATAACTTATAAAAATATAATTAGACTTAAAATATTATAAAATCATTTCCATGTTATTAAGAAATAATTAAACGTGTGTTTTCTGATGGAACTAAATTTTTGACCAGGTAGGGGGCTTACGACGTTTTGCTAAAAAATAGCTTTGCCGACAACTGGGACTTTTCTCCCGGCTCACACATATATGTTAAATGTTTGTCCACCAACTGAGGTTGATGACTGTTTTCTTTACCCTGATTCTCATTTGAGACTAGTGAGCAGATGTCTAACATTGTAAACATTTTGTTCCAATTTATGATTTGATATCCTAGAATGTTTTGGACCACTTTTTAACAGTGAAAACAGAATCGTTTTGTTGTATTGTCCATTATAAATACTGTTCAGAAATATTTCAAGTGTTTAAGGTCTTTGTGGAGCCTGGACACACAACCTAGTTATAAAACGAAAAAGTTTACCTTCTTCTCAATATGTGGCTTTGTTCCGTGTCTTGTTTCTGTGCTATTTATAATTTTTAAATATTGATTTGGATGTAACCCTTACAAGGCCTTTAATCAGGGTATCTCTGTGGCTTTTAGTGCTTTGACAAATAACAAGCAGAGTGTTGAAGCTTTACTTCACAGGGGGGGAGAGCAGTGCTTCGCGACTTGTAAAACGGTATTCAGAGAGAGCTCCAGAATCAATACACAGTCACTCCATTTGCTTGTGGAATATGAAGGTCAATAGTAGGTGCTCCAAAAGGTCAAATTTCTGCTACATTACAGTAGGCAAAGTGAACAGACTGTTGTGAAGTTTAGAGCAGGCTTGTAACATGTCCACTTGCGATATATTAACAGGTACTACAAGAAATTTGGAATTCCAGACCTTGATCGGTGCAGCCTTCCACTTGAACAAGCTGCAGTTGAGGTTGCGCATGCCAACAATACTCTGATCATATCTGTAAGTTTGTGCCAATCAAAATTGTAGCAGGCTTCCACTTGAAATGTCCAAAATAATTATATTTTCAGTATGTACATTCAAACCCTGTTGTAAGGCCTACCTTGGGATGAGCATGAAATTAGCGGTACAGCTGGGCTGGGGGTACAAAGTGATAGCACAGAGTGCCATCTTGGCCTATAGTGGACTAGTAGAGACTTGTGACGAACTGTGACCAGTCTTACTTTATCTAGATCTTTCTTCTTGCGTGATTGCCGTGCACAGGGGAAAAACCAGAAGCAACCTATTGTATGTACAGCCCCAGCAGAACTTAATGTAAATTCAAATTGAAAGTTTTGGCCAGATCAGAATATAGGGTATATGTGTCAAAGACCCTGTAGATATAGTTGTTGTTGGTTTGTTTTGGTTTGTTGTTTTTTTTAAAATCCGATACTCGTTAGTCCTCGGGCCACCTGAGACCTTTAATATAGGACTTGAGTGTGAGCCCTCACAACATAAAAGTCTCACGGGTGCCCTCCAGCGTTTTAGTCTTCGGACTGATATCTGGCGACACCATATATATTCTGCCAACAGGCCGGGGTGGCGCAGTTCCTTTGAAGTTTCTCTAAATGACTTTAGAATTACATTCTATTTCCTATAATATAAATATAGACAAATAGTCATGCACTAGCACTCTCACAATCAGCGCAAATCAGAAGCATCAGCAACAAACACTAGAAATTGGCCGAGCTCCCAGAGATGTGAGGGAAAAAGATTATCAAACAGCCACCAAGTGGGTGCTGTGCACCGTGTGTAGTGTGAACTAGTGCTGTGCGATTTTGAGGAAACAAAAAAATCATCGAAGCTTCGAAGCGTGAGCTCACTATTCATGACATTCGAATACCTCCGTCGAATGTTTTTTTCTTATATATCGCGACCCCTGTACTTTCTTGTCTTATCTCCATTTTTAATAACAGTGAAAACAGTTCTTAACAAAGAGTGAGCTCAAGAAGATGTAACATTATCTCTGTTAACAAAATGGAGATACGACAAGAAAATACTGAGGCCGCAATATGATAAGCATAAACCCTCTATTCTACATTCGCTATGCTATTCACAGCGCCGTCGAATGTTTTTTTTCTTATTTAAGATAAGCCCAGATCTAACTTCCGCAATTCAAAGGGCCTTCGAAAGGTATTTTGTTATATGTGACGAACCCAGATCTAACTTCTGGTATTCACTGCACCGTCGAATCGTTTTTTCTTATTTAAGATAAGCCCAGATTTTATTTCCGCAATTCAAAGCCCTATCGAATTGTTTTTTCTTATATTGTGATAGCCCACCAGTCACTGAGCGCGCATGTGTTGTTGTCGCAGACAGTGCAACGTGTTGACATCACGTCACCGTTCATAGCGCTTCGAATTTTGAGTAGAGTTAGACTAGGGGAGCTCATTGCGACAGCTAATTTCATGGAAAAAACATTGGGTGACCTTATTTAGGCCACATATGGCCTAAATAAGCTAAACCCCCCTCCCTTACCTTATTTGGGCCACAGGTGGCCTAAATAAGCTAAACCCCCCTCCCTTACCTTATTTAGGCCACACCTGAGGCCTAAATAAGCTTTAAAAAACCCTCCCTTACCTTATTTAGGCCACATATGTAGTCAAAATAACCAAACCAATGTAAAGCATTGCTTTCTTTACAAGTTACATTATTATTTCTTTATAACTCTTCACATCCATTTTCCTTCACAGTCGTATCGTACATGACATGTGATGTAGATCTAGAATCAATTTAAGGTCCTTGGAAAGGTGACCAGAAAATAACAAAATTATATTATGATCTTCACTTGCACTTGCAATTTTTTTGACAAATTAAAGTCTACCTAATTAAATTTTTTCCCCTCATTTTTCTTCACTATAAATGACAACTGGCATGTATTGTTTTCAGTTATTATCAAGAAAGTGGATAGGCGGACTACGGGGTCTATCTAGCCAAAAGGATAGGTGGACCCTGGGGTCTACCTAACAAAATGCTAGGTTTTAGGATGTGAACCCCGGAGTCAGCGTAGTGAAATAAGTAAATCTAGATCTAGGTTTAACTAAGGATCGGTGGACCCCGGGGTCAACATAGTGAAATAAGTAGATCTCAGTTTATTTTATAATAGGACTGGAGGAGCCCGTGGTCAAAGTAGTGAAATTATAAGTAGATATAGGTTTAATTAAGGATTGGTGGACCCCGGGGTTAATGTAGTGAAATCAGTAGATCTAGGTTTAATTAAGGATTGGTGGACCCTGGGGTCAACGTAGTGAAATAGGTAGGTTTAAGGTGGACCCCAGGGTCTACCTAACGAAACACTAGTAAGGTTTTAGAATAGGTGGATCCTGCGGTCACCGTAGTAAAATAAGTAGGTTTAATCAAGGTGTTCCGGGGGTCCACCAATCCATAATTAAACCTTCTTAATCCTCTATGGCTATGGTGACTCCGGGGTCCACCAATCTTTAAAGAAACCTACTTATTTCACAGCGGTGACCCCGGGGTCCACCTGTCCTAAAACCTAGTATTTCGCTAGGTAGACCCCAGGCCCCGGGGTCCACCTTAAACGTGCTTATTTATCACTACGTTGACCCCGGGGTCCACCAATCCTTACTTAAACCAAACCTTATTTCACTACGGTGACTCCGGGGTTCACATCCTAAAACCTAGTATTTCGCTATGCAGACCCCGGAGTCCACCTATCCTCTACAGGACTATACTAATACTATTATTATCAATTTGCAATTTTCATTGATTAGCATTTTTTTTTTTATATTGAATCAGAGACTCGCTGTCTAGAAAGTCCACTGCTAATGCTATTTTTATCAAAGAAAATGGCACAATTTGATTTTATGACATGCTAAAAAAGGAGTTTTTCAAAAATCCAGAAAATAACATAAAATGATTATATAGATCTATATATATATATATATATATGTATTTTATTATGCATACTAAAAGACTGAGCAGAGGCTTACAATGTAAATTCTGTGCTCTACAAGTAGAGAAAATCTTAAGTTTGCGCAAAACAGATTTTAGAAAAAAAGTTGGATCTAATTATTCTAATAAAAGTAAAAGTGATTGTTATGGTGGGATTTGTTATTATTAACTCTGGAAATACAGTTATCTGCTGAATCTAAAATTAACTAGAACTGTGCAATTCGTTTTATTTCAATTCCAAAGCCCAAAGGCATAGCAATAAGTCAAGTTAGATCTAGATCTAGCAGTTGTAGGCTCTCTGGCTGCTTCTAGCATAGGCCTGCTACTACTGATTCTAGACGAGGAATCTAGATCTAGCTATCACCTGCACTATTAAAGTCAAATATATGGTAAAATAAAAACAAAACGGTGAATTGTTTTGTCAGTCAGTACATCCCAATTGCCATAGCCGCACGTATTAATAGTTGATATAATGCAATACCGAAGCAATACGTTATAACAGTGTGCAGGGAAGAGCGGGGTGCCCGGGTCGCTGACCGGTTGGTTCGGAGGTTCGGCTTTTGTAGATCTATGCATTTTTTACGGAAAGCCCTATAATTGGCCTATTACTAGATCTATTATTAGTGTTGTGAAAACTTCAACCTCTACAGCTCAGGCGTCAAAAGACGTTGAAAAATAATAATACGTCCTGAAGTATCATAATTTATACAGAATAACACAGCCAGTAGTTTTTATTTCATAGAGTTATAAAAAATAAAAATTGCCTTATTTTCAGAAGCAAATTTTAATAGTTCCAGTTCTACTGAATCGATTTTCACGCGAATTCAACCATTTTGATGATCTTTCTTTTCCTTTTAAAAAGATATAGGCCTGTGGGATGTGGCAGTGCGATTAACACTGAGTTGTTTAGATCCATCAAAACAGGAGGCTTCGTGGCCGATCACAAAAGTCTACGGGGCTTATCGAGGCCGATTCGCCCTGCCGTGTGCACGTTCACTAAACTGCCTACTAGATAGAATCTACTACCACAGATTCTCTACACGATCTTTGCTACTACTACAACATGTACCACTACGAGACAGTACGAGAGAGTGCCACTCAGGCAAAGATAGTGTAACTTTGACTCAGCCACGTTGTGTACACACTTTTTATACCCCAAATTTGACCCGGAAGTCCATTCGGACGATTTGACCTTTTCATTGACCAAAGTGTGCCAAAATGGTAGCCTAGCTTTTGCCCCTCCATGAAGGAAAAATCTGGCCCTCATTCAAACCATTGGTATTGAGCAAAATTTTGCGTATTGTGCTTTGTTCTTACAATATTCATTGTGATTATGATTTATAAGTTGTACACTGAGATAAAACTGTACTAAATGAGAAAGGTGCGCCATGATGAAAGTGGAACGAACTCAGTCGCCTGAAAAGGATAGTTTGAGCATGTGTGGCCTAAATAAGCTAAACCCCCCTCCCAGACCTTATTTAGGCCACATGTGGCCTAAATAAGCTCCCCCCCCCTCCCTTACCTTATTTAGGCCATATGTGGCCTAAATAAGCACTCCCAAAAACATTCGTTGCGCTTCAAGAGTCATGTGCCTGTGCTTGAGCTGTCCATAGTGTGGCGAGTGAATATTGAATAGTAAGAGATATTCTCTAAAGAATTGTTTTTTAATTCTTGTAGGCTCCTCTTATCACTCTGTCTCGTAACCATCAAATATAGAGTAATTCTGTATTATATATTTATGTTAATGGTTTTAGATAAATTGTGCTCCAGATTTTTCTATGTTTGAGAAAAATGAGACGAAAATCCGTTTTCTGTATCTGTTTTTAAAAAATCACACAGCATTCGAATGGCTCTGCCAAGCTTCGAATAGCTGTGAATAGTGCAAAAATCATGAATTGTCGAATAGTAAAGTCGAATGGGCACAGCTCTAGTGTGAACCTCTAGTGGCTAATTTGTTGGCGGTATGTCGGTGCAAATTTACATTAATTCGATAAGGACCGTATAACTTGGATAGTTGGCGGATGGCGGTGTAAAGGCTCAAGTTCTATGTTTGTGTGGGCGTTCTTTTCGTACATTGGCAAAACTTGGCTGTAAGCGGAGCTGACGGTGCAACAAGGTTTGACTGTACTTTCAACAGCATTTGATCTGAGTTCAAGGACCAAGATGAAGCCCAAAGAGGGAACTGGCGTGTGAGAAAATATAAAGCAAAAATGGACCACCACCACCACCACAGTTAATATTAAATTTTGACAGCTAAAAGTTTTCTTAACTTATTAGTTAATCTCTATAGTTAGTATTTCTGTATGTATTTTCTGACCCCTCCCCCATTTAAAGTTTCAGACCCAGTTGGAAAGTAGGCGGGAAACTGATTAATAGACCGAATGGGGAGGGTTAGGTGATGTCAATTTCAAAGTCTTCTTAGGGTAAGTCCTCTTACTCTTTGTACCATTTTGTGAATTTCTACTGTATCTGTACTTTGTATTTTTGTCCTGTGCTTTCAGTACAAGAAACCCGGAACTGTTCTGGACTTCGAGAAGAAAATGATGATGGAGATCAAAAAGTTGAAAGCATCCAAAGATGGAGACGTGGACTGTACTCCAAGCTGACAGAAGATGTACAGGATTTTAAATAATTTTGTCAAATCAAGGTCTCATTTCTAGCATCATTTCCAATATATGCAATTCAATCACTACTGCTATTTCATATTATGTGCTCAATAAAAACCAAAAATGCATCCCTTCTCTACCCTTTGTCTAAAAATAATTTATATAATTTGTCAACTTCAACTTCAAAGATCCAAAGATCTAGTACCAGAGCTTGTTTTAATTTTTAGGGCACGAAAAAAAAAAAATCACTTTTTGTACATCAGCTTTGAAGACAAGACTGAGACTTAGTTCAAAAGACAAATCACTTCAGTACTTTCAAACGTTCTGAATTATTCTGCAGAAAAAGTCACAAAGGCAACTGATCACTGACCTGCTACCAGTCAATTTCACCTGTCCACGGTAAAAACAGGAGAAAGACAAATTGCTCTGTTTTATCTTCTCCTGTTTTTACATGCGGGTCTAAGAGTTGGATGACGAACAAAAAAATGAAGGTCACAGCGAAATAAGATTCGGATACTTTTTCTTTGATGCTAGTCTAAATCGCGTAGAAAAAATAATAGGTTATTTACAGCGTGCTCCTAAAACATCAATACATCAAAAAGTTTACCTATTTCCATCAACATTGCACACTAACGCCTATGAAACGCAGTCCAAAATACAAGTGAGTACTTTTCGAAGAAACGTGTAGCAACCTCTAGACAGTCTTGGGGGGACACATGTGATTCGTAATTGCACTAAAAATGCGGCAAAGGGTGGTGTTTAAAATAGGGCCCTATTAAAGAAACTTGAAGATTACTTGATCAATTTTTTTTTTTATATTTGGTCGCTGGCCTATAGAAGTGCCATGCAAAGTCACATTAGCAAATTGATTAATGAGCTGGAACGTTTTTAACACAGCCAGACATTGTGCAAACTACAGAGCAGAGACGGAGGCTCTAATACATGCCGCAAACATCATCAGGGATGTGGTAGACCCCCACAGCCAAGTAGTATTCTTAACAGATGCCATGTCAGTAATTTGAGTAATGCAGGCAATCACTTCCGGAAAACTTCCAAGGCTGCGAGAAGTAATTGAGAGTATCCCATGCCTGAGTACCGTGTCGCCGTGGATCCCATCACACTGTGGTGTCTTAGGAAACGGACAGGCCGACAGGATGGCCAAACTAGGTGCACAGAAAGAGCAACTAGACGACAGCGTCAACTACACAGAAATAAAAACTCTTATAAAAATTAAAATACACTACTTAAAGCACCACACACCTCAGATAGCTACCATGAGCTGTCTCGCCTAGAACAAATGATTATCTTCAGACTAAGAACTCAACACACAAGACTGAGACAACACATGTGCAGACGTTTTAAGCTAGTACAATCACCAAAATGCCAGTGTGGAGAGACGGACCAAACTGTGGAACACATCCTTCAGCACTGCAAGACGTACAGGGCCCTGAGACGGGAAACGTGGCCAATCCCATTGACACACACTGCACTGTAAGAGAAACTGAGCAGAATGGCCCAGTATTTTTTTTTTAGTACGGGGTTTTAGGTCGTATGAGCGCGCGGAACAAGTTGGGTTTTTTTCTCAATAGCTCACGGCTGGGCCCGATTCTTGTCAATATTACTAATTAGAATGTTTTTAAATGCTAAAAATCGAGTGTAAATAGATTTTTAAATAAAACAACTTTCTAAATAACACTTTAAAATTTCAAGCAATCTATTTTTATAACTTCCCATAAAGGCCAATGGCCTTCATCATTAAATCTAAATTTCTGTTGGGAACAACTACGGAAAAAATATCTTTCACTTTCAATTTTTTTGCATTTTAAGTATTTCCTTCGGGTCTCTCTGAAGTCTAGACATTCGGTTAAAATGTGTCTAATGGTAAAATCTGTGTCGCATCCGACACAGAACGGCTTCTCATCTCCCTGAAAGAGGTATTTGTGCGTTAGGGCCATGTGTCCAATGCACAATCGAGTAAAAATGACTTCGTCTCTTCTGGAGAGGTCCGAAGGATTTCGCGGTCCCAGTTTGGGTTTAATATTGTGGAGTGTTATTTTGTTAGTTTTTTCCAGTGGCTCTCCCACAGAGATACGATCGAGAGGAAGAAGATCTGACCATACACATGTTAAAAAAAGAAAGATACAATCATTGGCTTTTTTTGCATACTTGCAATGGAGGATAAAAAAGCACTTCATCTCAAGCACATATTAATTATATTTAAGCTTCTAAAAGTTTAACTTAACTTTAACAAATGTGAAGAAGAGGAGGGTCTGGGACCAGACAAAAAGATCAACTTAACCAGTACTTTGATAGCTTTTAAGTGTATAAATAGTATAAAGCCATAAACTTTCACCACAGCTGTGAAATTATACAATTTTTTTAGTTTCACACCGACAGCTTTTACTTTAATTTTGAGGTAGATAAAAAAAGTATGGTGTTTGCTTGTCAACCTAGAGGCCTAGAGGTCCAGACTTAAGTCCAGTATCAGTTATTTTTTCCAGCTGTTTTCTACATCCCTTGATCCTCGGATAGGTAAGATTGAACGATTTCGGAGATCTTGTGGAAGTTTCGCATGTAAGAGTTAAAGATCCGAAGGCAGTTCTAAAATTGAAAAGAGTAGGCCCTTTGGGCCACCAACCAGGCAAAACTCAAAATTAATTCCAAATTGAAACTGAAGCTACGGTACTCTAGTCAGTACATTATAAATATTAAGTGCATCTAAAAAGCAGCACATGGCTGTCTGTCAGGTAAGGGATGATTTTATGTTCTAATACATCAATGTAAATTAATCGGCCATTTACAAACTGCATTGTGAGATATTGATAGCTACCCCCTGAGCTCTAGCAGGGTATGCAGAAAAAGAAGAAGATTTAACATTTGCTCGGGTGCGGTGGGCCTTTTTTTAATAACACCCTCTTCAGTTACACATGGAAATGGTGTGGGCTTTATTGGCAAGACACCAAGGATGTGGGGTAGAATACTTGTGGTCTTCATTGAGTCTGAATCATGGACTTTCAATAAATGTTAAGGTGCCCATCCCATCAGAGCCGATGCTAGTTTGAAGGCATAAATTCTTAAGTTAATCAACCAACTTGAGAGTTGTCTTTAAATTAAATGTCAAGGTCAAAAATTCTATTTAACTCATTCTGTTTGGAATAGCATAAACACAGGTAAAAGTAAAACCTTTCAAAATCATCTTCTTAGTATTTTGCCGAAAGTGGTGAAGAAAGAGCAGAATTAGTACAGTAGTCTCCGCCTAAACGCACGGCATACAAAAGCATGCTCTGCTCAAACACATGCTTTCGTCATCTGAGGGGTTTTTTACTATATAATAATTTAGATGTACAAACGCACGGTCACTCTCTCTAAACGCATGCTCCGATCCTCAAAACACGCCAACAGATTAAACTTGACAAGGGGAAATTTGCGCTGCAGCCTTCACAGTGTCTAAACAACTAGATAATTTAGCGAGACTGCATGTCACGGAGAAAAAAGAGGGTCATGGACAGCATTTTCACCACACCTCACTTTCCAGACAAGTAGATCTAATATCTTCGGGTCGCCTGGGGTGGAGAAAAAAATTTTTTTCGGGGGGGGGGGGGGGAGGGGGGGTTAAGGAGGAGGGACTGAAATGTCTTTTGATAGGTCACTCGAAATGCGTTTTGAGAGAATGTTTCTGACTGGTGTTTGAATGACTGCATCATACGTCATGTTGGGTACCGTAAGTTAATAAAGTTAGGCCTATGATGCTCAACACGCGTGAATGCTCTAGAACACTAGATAGGTCTGTATAGGATTAAAGATTAAAAGTCAAGTGATCAGCTATAGTCGAAGAACTAGATCTAGAAATAACGTACTTGTTCAGCGAATCACTCCGATTCTGATGTCATCCCTACATTTGCCAAGTTGCAATAGATGACACGTAGTCGGGAGCGGTCGCTTGGAAAGCCACGTGGCTGAGTGCCTTTTCCTTATGACTGGATCTATCACCAACAGTTTCCTCGTATCTGTTCCCGACATTTTTAGTGCGTATCAGTAAAACAAGTCCGTCTTTCTGCCCCCCCCCCCCCCCTCCAATTCAACGACTTAGTATTCATACATAACCGCAGTCTGTGAATCTTTCACAAAACAGTCACGTGACGTCACACTGTTGACCAAAGTGACCCCACCCCCAAGGGAGGTCACTTATATATCAAGGCAATGAGATAACTGCGTGCCTTCCTCCCTTTATACAGGTTCGTGTAAATGCACGCTCCGTATAAACACACGCTAAGGAGCCCTCCCGAGCACCGTGCGTTTAGGCGGAGACTACTGTACCGGTACACAGCCATTCACTTTCATCCTTCATAAAGTACAGATTCGGACAGAATTCAATCATTATGTCAAAAAGGAACATCAGTTTTATTGGAAACTGAAAGCATTGCATGGAAAAAACCCACAAATTTGTGAAACATATTTCCTTTACATATCAACAAACACATAACCTGTCAAAAGAATGCCTTACATCTACCAATTAAAAGAAGCAAAAGAAAGAAAAAGAAAATGCTTTCGTGGATGAAAAAAGTAGATATAATTTTCTTGAATTTTTAGTGATTTGAATAAATTACATTTGCTTGTTTTAAAACTGAATAAATGAAACAAAGAAACTAGCACTCGCAAAACATGAAAACAGACTGGCCATTCTCATTAATTCAAGAATTGAAAAAAAATTTTTAAGGAACCCATATTGCATTTTTGATCCCTTCAAATGAACTAACTTTTATTTTTCAAAACAAAACATTTCATATGCTCTCTCAAAGTCTGTCACTACTGTCAGGACAAAATATGAGGTAAGGTTGTCTGAAAAAAAAAAAGTCAGTGAAACACATCAGTGGACACAACAAGCTAGAGAGAACATATAATATATATATATTGGCATCAATATTTACATTCCACACATTGCACCTCCACCACAATTTAACACTGTGTATGTGATGAAGCGTGAACCATACCGCAACTTAAGAGGCTGGAGTTCGTAGTAAGTTGTTTACAGCCCAAAATACAAAAAGATCAACAATTTTACTTATATGCAGCTATACTATTAAAAAAAACCAAACAAACAAACAAAAAGATAAATATTTTTAAAACAGTATCAGGGTTTTGTGATGGTATTCATTCACCACGAGAATACTGGGCAAAAAGCAAAACAACATTGCTGGTAGAACCTGAAATGGAGCAGCTGGATGGCTCTTCAAAAGTGAAACAAAAATCGCATTTTTACACTAAGCATTAATGAAAAGGTCACCTATACCACAGCCAATGCACTATAGTAAATAATACAACACAGTAACTAAACTTCTACCAGACTTTTTCCCTAAGCTAGAGCACAATGGGACTAAGCTTGAAATGGAGACCTACACATTGTACAGCAAAGTCATCAAATGCTAAATTAGACACTCATCAGTCATATCTGAGTATGGCATGAAATTTGTTTGGGAAAGGGCAAGAAATAAAGACTGCCATCAATGACATAGTCTAGCATGACAAATGGTGTGTCGTATGCCACATGTCATGGCAAGTACCAATTTCCGTAAAATATTTTATTTCTTGTTATACAGATTTTGACCATGTGATCTCCAAGGTAGGCATTATCATACAAAAATTTATTGAGCTCACAACTTTACAAGGCAAGAGGTAGCCTGGAGCATGGTAGTCCAAATTATGCCTCCCCACTTCATGGACCGCACTCTCATAACAAAGCACCTAACAAGAGTTGGTCAAACAACGGCCTCACAAAACATCTTTCTTGTGATAAGCCATTAAACAGGAGAGCTATTAAACAGACTCCAACATTGACCCATCTTTGTAGAAATTTGTCAGTGTCAAGACTGACCAAAAGCCAAAGTAATAGCTAAGCATAAAAAAATTGATCCAAGTCATATGCCTAAATATTATTACATCTTATCAAGAACACAACTTTCATTTGGTTCAGCTGTTAGTTGAGCAAGCTGTTTGTTTTTTTAATGGAATAAAAGAACATTCACTGATTGTTTAGTTCATGTGGAGGTTCCATGGAAAGAGCTTGTGGTCATGGTCAACAAAATTTCCTCATTCTGTCTCTATTGGAAAATACAAAATTTCATTTATCCCCTGAAATCATGACTGTATGGCAAATAAATCTATACTGCCAAAGGAGTTCTCAGGGCGTTTCCAAAAGATTGATGCTAATCTTGAAAGAAAACACCTTGACCAGAATTTTTTTATTTTCCTACAAGATATTTCTTTCATCAATTAACAATATGTCCATCAACTTGCCCACGAAATGACATGGAACAGGGCTAATATGAGCTCGATTATCTCAAGACAAGAAGTTTTACAGGATGGGGATCGGAACAAGCCTCCTCCTCCAGAAAGCATTTTAAGTTTAAGACAATAGCAACGACATTGAAAACCAATAGAATGAGCATTCTATATGACAATGCACAGACACTACCTACTGAGTTGACAATGAGTGGACCTGATGATATATTTTATTGCATAAAAGGTAAGCACATCCGAAAAAAGTTAACTCTGAACTCTCACACTAAATCGCAGAGGACTTCAAGAATTCAGACTGCTATTTTTTTCACAATTTCAACGGGGAGAGAAACAAAAGTATTAACTTAATAAAGCCATATATGGTTCTTACCACATAATCTTCATCATAACAAATCTTTTTTCAATGCCATTGGGCTGTAAAATATCAGGGGCATCCCAGTCTAGCTGAGATGTATTGTACTAACATTAACAACAGAAAGGTTGTGAGACAGAAACTCCGCTTCTCCTGATGAGAAATTGGTGTAATCTAACAAAAGATACGATACGCTATTTTATTTTCCTCAATTCACTAAGCTGCCAAAAATTATGACTTGCCAGTCTGACTGCATACTGAGAGTATATATTGAACTAGTGCAGCATGCACCCTGCCAGTCTGACTGCATACTGAGAGTATATATTGAACTAGTGCAGCATGCACCCTGCCAAGTTCTGCAGGGAACCCGGTAAATTGGAATTAACTTTTACCATAAAAGAATTTTATTGGAGTCCTGTAAGCCTTCTATCGAAAGGGATAAATAGTCTAATTGCCTGAACTTGACCTTTGAAAGACTGACGCACACACATTTCAGGATACATCAATCTCTAGTAGTGTACATTCTAAGAAAGGAAGACTACATAGATAACCTAGGAAAATACCCCCAAAAATTAATAGATAAAAACAAAGTATGCAATGGCCAGCATTCCTTTCAGAGCTTTGTATCACTTTCGTGAGCCCATTTTGAAAAAGCTGTTTTGTTAGTGGTCTCTACTCAAACTCAAAAACATTTTGAGTGGGTGGTTGGAGGGTGCTCTGGTGTGGTTTGCTTCTACTTTCCTATCAAACATCTATCGTCTTTATCTCTCCTCCTTTTTCGTGTTTGTTACTCTCTTGTAACACCTCTAATCTTCTATATGACCTTATTGTGTTGCAAGTGCCGTAAAACACTTACTAAAACTAAACTAAAACATTTCGGTATCTTCACAAAACAGATAAATATGATACAAATGGTTTGTTCAGATAAGATAAGAAAATATGTGGGTGGAAATACAGAGGGAATGATAACATTACTAACTGTCATAGATAAAATAGGTGCATGGCACATCAACATCGGGATTTTCAAAGTTTGAAATTGAAAAAAAAATTATAAATAACAAGAGCAAACAAATGTATCAATGGACCCACCAATGTAGGTAAAAAAAGAAAGAACATGTTCAGAAAAGCCTAATTCCTTATTTACTGTTAGAGTACTGTAGTCTCAATAATTTCCCAAAAAGGTATCGGACTTCAGTACCACAGGCATAGTACTGCGCTGTGATTGGTGATTTATAAAGACAGAACATTGGGAGTTTCCGGAAAAATGAAGAAAAAGTAAGATTCTCCAAGTTACTCAGCAGTTGTTTCAGCAGATGAGGGCACTTTCCCCTTGCTCTTACTTTGTTCTGAAAGAATTTTTTTTTAAAATGAACAGCAGTTGTCTAACAGCCAGTTCTGAATCTGGGTCAAAGCTTTTATTATCGGTAATTCTAAAGATAACTGGCTTAGTTATCAGATTTAGAAGGTGACAGTGATTGTACTGATTGCGACAACAGTCTATGGTTAACACATAGAGACTTTGACAATGATGCGGACTATTGAGTAGAGGAGGGAGAAGGAGGGGGAAGTGCCACTCCTTCTACTATAAAAACGGTAAACCTGAAATCTTACCCAGTTATATAGATCAATTCCAATAATTCGGTTTGCCAGACATTGAAAAAAAAAGCAATGGAACAATGCCACATGTAATGGTAGGTGACCATTTTCTCTTGTTTTACTTTCATCTTCTTCAACATTTGGTTGTTTTAGATTATATTATGCTAAATACAACTTGGCTTCATAAAGTGCAAGTGAAATATTTTCTATGTAAAAGTATACGCAATTCAATCTGGTATGCTAATGATGTACACAATATAATATAACTAAGTCATTTATTTATCATCTTTTATCAACATTCTCTCAGCTCTATTTCATAATCAAAATGAAAACTGCCACAATGTGACCAATTTATACCCATTATCAGCAAGCTAGATGTCTTCTCATCAGTTCTTGGACGTGTCTATAAAATCTACATTGTCCATCACCAAAATTTAATTGGCAATGGGTTTGTAATGTGCACAGATTCAGTTTTCACAATTCCTCTGGTTGTACAGATATTAATATGGCCAATAGGAAGGGGGGTGGGGAGGCACTTCTCTAACAGAGAAAATGTACGTGATAACATACCAAAATTCATTTTGTGCTTGAGAAAATATGATTCCACAAAGAAATTGTAGACAAACAGGAAAGAAGTAGAACTTGCCAGTAGCACCCTCTAGATTTTGGGGATTAGCATCTACACAGACCTAAGAGCATATCTTTTGTAAACCCAATAAAATAAGTACACGATTTTTTTTGTTTAAAACATTTATCCTTTGCTAATATTCACGACCAAAATAATAGGAATAAAAATATATTTCATCATGTTAGCAAATATAACCTTGTCAAAAGACACTAAACAATGCATTGTTTTATTTTGTTTCTCTTGGGGGGGGGGGGGGGGTAAAAACTTTTGGTCCGTCCAGTAGACATTACATTCTCTTCAGAACTTACAAAAAATAAAAGCCCGAAGTCTAATAAGTAGCAACTGTTTCACCAGAAAAAGTTTTTAAAAAGGAAGTTGTATGGAGTAATCATATAAAGAGGGTCTAATTAAACCTACCTGTTGCTGACAATACTTTCAGTGTAAAAATAGAAATTTTACTCAATAAAGTTCAGAATGATATGCCTGACCTTCATGACAGGCTTGAAAAGAATACAAGCATAAACTTGAGAGAAGTAAAAGAGTTGTGCGGATAAACAAACTGTACCAGCCCGAAGCAGTTAATGGAAAATATTGGAAATATTTTACTCAAAATTCTTGAGCATTTTAGGCCAAGATTTTTATTGGAACCTGATGCATGCAGAACTAACACTGATAACACACTCTTTTATTGATACAAGATGAGGAAACAGTTAAGAACACAAACAAACCACACTCATGGACTAAAAATGGATGACTATACTAAAGAAGCAGTATGAATGCCTCTTTGAAAGTCAGTATTATAAAAATACAGTACACACAATACACAAATCTCAAATTACGAGATCTGTGAAACAAGAAACAGACTATAAGAAGTTGACAAAATGCACGATCAGTGGTCTAAAGCTTTCGCTCCCACCCATGAGAAATCCCTTCACTTCAAATACAAAATTTAAAAAAAAAAGGGGGGGGGGGGGAACTGATAAGGGAGGGGGACATGAACTTGCATAATTGTTAACTCCACAATCGAACATGCAATTATTTTCATTTACACTCGTATGTACACCCAATCCCCATTCCACCGTTATGAAAAAGTCTCTGTGGACCATTTAGAGCAACTCCTCAGAGTCATACAAGAAAGTGTTCAACTTGAACAGCTTTCATTTTCGCACCTGTTTAAGGTACTGCAGCATAGTGCACTGGTAAAACTTGCTACACGTATCAGGAAGACAAAATTTCCCCATTCTTGAGTAGTCGACAAATAAGAAACAAACAGATCAAGAACACCCTTGAAAATCATTCGAAACAATCCTCTTTTCATAAGTATCCTTCAAGAGTTGAAGAGCCAGGTACATTCACAGCAGGCATCCAGACAGTCACTATCACAGAAATGCCTAGGGAGAAAAACAGCATTGGTCAGACACCGGCAACACCTGGACAAAAAAACATACGAAATAGATATTACAAAACAGAGGAAAGACTGAGCCTACACCTAAAGTATGAAAGACATGGTACCCCCCACACCAAATTTCAGTACAGGAAGAGTACCAGAACTGAAAAAATAAAATTTAATCATTATGACATTTCATAATTTTCTCTATCAGAGTCTTCCATGTAGAGTTTCCCTACATGAGATCTGTTGGGCAACAAAGAGCCATCTAATGAGCTGTAAAAATAGTATGTAAAGTTAAGTAGTAATAGTATGTAAAAAAATGTTATATATAGTTGCAGAATACAAACGTCTGAAAAAATTTGTTACCCATCACACGAGGGCCACCAGAGTTCAATAATGCAGTCGGGACATAAAAGTTGTACACAAAATACAGAGAGACATTATCTCCTGAAACTCACTTACATGTTCCCAGCCATAACCTTAGTTCACAGATATGTCATCCTCATATACACGCTTTCGACTTGAATCATGACTGGAAAAAAAGGGGGTGGAAAACGTGGCTTAAATACAATTCAAATAAGTCAATATAATAGCTGTGGCACAAATAAATAACCTGAGCCTGTCCTAACAGAAAAAGCACTCTATTCAGTTTTACCAAATAAAAAAGGACAGTGGCCTTAAAAATAAAATATTTTTTTCAGTATTCTATTCATGCACTGTGTGACAAATCATGGAAAATGTGTTCTACTTATCAATATGAACAAAATAATGATTACACTTACAGATATAAAAGTAATAAGACAGTTATAATTATATCAAAGATACACATCTGTGACATTTTAGAATTGTGTGTTGTTCACTTTCAACAACATAACAATCAACAATACAAAGAAAGCACGAACCCGAAAATCTACTTTCAACCATTGATTTTTCATTAACATCAAAACCCTGCTGTTTCGAGGATATTTTTTAAAATCACACAGAAGGCCCTACTGAACCTAATCAAAGCGAAATTATCACCCCCCCCCCCCCCCCCCCCCAAAAGCCCTTCATTAGAACAAACAACAAAATCCATATAACACCAATTACTTTTAACCAAAAAAAAAAAGATAAAGCAAACTGCGCACAAACTTGTTACCCTCTAAGAGATACATATAAATGTGGGGTCCATTATTCCATCTTTCGGCCATTCGTGATTATAGGCAGCCCCCTCTAAGAATAGTTACAAGAAACCCCTGTATGAAAAATGAATGAAACTTGGCAACCCATCAGAATAAAGCTAAACCTACCGGAGAAATTGCAGTGTATGTGCGATTTTCTGTTTTTCAGAAACAAAGAGGAGCTGCTGCATGGCCGTTGACCAGACAGGCGCCCAACATTATATCTCCTTTATTACTGTAAAATTTCAGATCCCTGTGTGTAGTATATTTTATGTCCCAACTTGAAACTATCACCCATCCACCAATAACAGACTATAGCCAGAAACTGGAAGAGAAACTGAACAAGCTAGCCTACCAGCATGCGAAAGGCATGTACTCCCTAGGTAGAATATGCTTGGCAGCCTAAAACTAAATAAGTCACCAATGAGTCCACTGTCGGTTTTCCCTATACCACTTTGTTAATTGTAGAAGGGATGATCGGAGAACAACGCTGATTCTTTTAAGATCTAAGTTATACCGTTTCTGTAACAAGGGTACATTCAACTAACTTCTGTCCAGTATGTTCAAAACAAGACCAAAGTAGTTTTTAAGCAAAGATGCGTTGATAACTTAGGGGGTTTTGTAATGTTTGAACCAGTCTCACAAGACTGTGCCCCCCTTTCGATAGCAGTACAAGTGATGTCCCGTAATTAAACAAATTTTTATGTAAATATTTGTCTCAAAGATCTAATAAAGACATTAAAAATTTGATAGCAGAAATAGAGTCTGCACTAGAGTTGGGGCGAGCAGACGGATGGGTTCGTTACTCGTGGACTCAGTCTGAGCGAGCGGGTAACGGACAGCCACGCGAGCGGACTGTGAACCCCAAGACAGTTCGTTTTTTGGGTCCGCTCCACAATTTTATTCACTGAGTGGACGAGCGAACGGACGAACTCTAGCAGACGAGATACTCGACGCGAAGTTAGGCGCGTCGTCTATTGCTTGTTAATTAGGCCTGGTGTTTCAAGCAACTAGCGGTGCCACAAGGAGTGACAGGGGCTGGTGACATAATACTAAGTGTGTAACCTTTCACTTTGCGTGGGGCACACTGTGTACGTTGCAATTATCGGGAAGGCGAAGTGTAAAGAATTCTCAAAGGCCTTTGAAATTTCCTCCACGAATGCTACAATGTGGGGAAGGAGGCTAATTTGGTGAATATTTTTTGTTGTTTTTTTTGGGGGGTGGGGGTGTAAGTAGTATGCAAAGGAAGGAGTCGCTCCCCGTCCATCCGCCCACTTGAATGCATGGAGTTTCTCCGTCCGCTCGCTAAACGAACTCTGTTGTCTCTGTCCAATATGTAGCAAGTAGCGAACTACTCTTCACAAGCGGACGGCTCGTTACCCGTCCACTCGTTTGCAGGTAGTGCCAGCAAGTAGTTCGTTACTCGCGGACGCTGATTTAGCGAGCCAGACCCAACTCTAGTCTGCACTAAAAATCACAAAGAGATGCCAAGTTTCATTCATATGATCCAATTCAATACTGACCTATGAACAGTATCCCCTCAAAATGCATCGAGAATTGTCCAATGTATATTTTCCTATATAGTTGTCCACAAAAATTTAGCGACAAAAAATCCAAACAGCTTTTTTTTTTTTACCCACGGATTTTTTAAATACCCCCCCAGTTTTTAGAGTTTACTCCTCTTTCATTAAGAGCTTTTTTTAATGCAATTAGGATAAAAATCTAATTGTTTATTGTCATTGCTCAAAAAATGTGTAGCAACAGCAAAACGAACTTCTATAAGTAAACAGCAGATAACTGTCAGTTTTGCCAAGAGGCATTGTCAGAAAAGCAGACCCCAGCACTTCATTGTTTCACAAATATCACATCGTTTTAACTGTTAAAGAAAAGAACAACTTCCCAAGCGATCCCTTATGAACTAAAGGCCCAATCACAGCATTACACAGAGCGTGGACACTATAAACTAGCGTACAGCACTTCCAGCATTCCAGCAACCTTTGTGAGCAACTCATTGTAAAAAAAAACCATGACCCTTATCTAATGGAACTTACATGCTCCTACAAAAGGTGCAGGATTGGATTTAATGGAGTTCAGCTGCAGTTGCTATTATTACTTTGCAAAACAATATCTATTGAGGCCTATTTCTAACGACAAAGAACCACGGATGAAGATTAAGAAATGCCAGGATCAGCTCAACTAACACACATACACCCCCCCCACCCCCATTTTATCTTACATAGCAAAAATCTAAAGATTGTAGCAAGATGCAACATGCAAAATTTTTGTGAAAACTCACCTCTTGAAGTTGTGCATACCAGCTATATGCTCTTGTACTTTCCGGGCTTCCTGTGCGTATTGCTCCAACAGAGTAGGATCCGTGGGTGGAAGGATATTGGGAAGGTATCGAGAGAACAGCCCTGGATTCAGCTTGGAATAATCTGTTAGAAATTAAAATAATCTCTCAGTAAAGGAAAGTTATTCTGGTGGAGAGTCACAGAATTTCACATCACAAACTTTGAAAAAGGGGAAAACACTTCCTTCTTTAACTTTCTTTCCAATTATAAACTTAACTGTGGAGTAAACCTAGTTATGACCACCAGGCCTGGAGTGGAGTGGACAATATCAAACCTTTCCGAACATCCCACATTGTTACAGCGAGTTCTGTTTCAATTGCAATGATAAGTACGTATTTGAGGCTACAAAATCAAATGACTCCACAGTGGCACCGTACAAAATCAATTCTAGGCCATCGGAACATTATTAAAACACAAGATATATTTTCAAATTACTTATGGTACAAGTACCACAAATTTTATGAAGTTTTTTATCCTTGACATTGGAACAAAGGCACACATGGTACTAGCACTGTTGACAACATAAAATTAGGTGCCAATAGAATGAGCAGATCTCACGGACCCATTAAAGTCCTCCTGACTAGGAACTGTTCAGACTTGCACAGCAAGAGCAACATTTAACATTTCAATAGTTACAAAATTATTATGAAAGTATGGAAAACTATCTCGGAGTACAAATAAGATATAATACGCATTACAAATTATTTCTACAAGTGGTCACTGACCTTCATTCAAAGCATAAAGATTTTTCATTATGCTGGCCATGGTTGGAGGTGAGATGGCAAATGGCACACAACTGACTTCATCCAAAAGCTCTGGAAGTTGAAAGCAAACAAATACAGATTAATTTTCCTTGTTACACATAAAGAAATGAGAATCATACCAGATGAGAAATGGGAAAAAAAAAGAAATTACATAACTAAAGTATTAAGTTTTCCAAGAGCAAGCTGTAGTCCATCTCGTAATTATGTGGATTAGTCTAACTATCAGTGCTGGGACTTGTGACCGTTTATCCAGTCAAAAACATTCAGCTACACACTACCAAAATCCAAAAGACTATGAATTACAAGAATATATGTGTGCGCCTAGAGAAAGCTACCAAAAGTCACGCGAGACCGTTTCGAGCTACAGGCTGATAATGACAAAAATCAGTTTTTTGACCAAAATGTGTTTCAATTTTTTTTTAAAAGATAGATCCACAATTTTTTTGCAATGTACCCAAAGGGTTTTCATTGATTTGACTTCTAAACATTCTATTTTGAATAATTTTGAGGGTACATTAATAAATACCAATAATGGAAACTGCTTTCAAAAGGTGTTGAAATCTATTCTTGAAGCACGTTTTCTCTTCTCTACTATGTTTTACCATTGAATTCTATTCATGATATTAGAGTCAGCTGAATGCCAAATTGGAAATGAATTTTCCGCGAATAAATACATTTAAAAAATCGTTTTTCAAAAGTTTGTATGTGTTCTCACGTTTGTTAAACTTAAAAAATCATTTTCTCAAAATTATATTTTTATACCCTACCTCTCAAAATGTGCTAAAAAATTCAAAGACCCCCGTGTTCAGCATTGAATTTCCTACAACGTACAACCCTTAACTCAAAATGGTCAAAATCGGACTTTTGGTACCTTTCTTTAGGCACACACACATATTGTATAGTATAGTGATGTTTTCTATTGTTTCTTGTTTTTTCAATATCGCGAGATGATTTTGGCATATTCTTTTTTAATCACCCTGTGTATGACTTATATTACAGGAAATATGAAAAAAATCTTTGAACATTTTATCAAATCCTTCTAGAGTTTCTTCCCTAGAGGTTTTTCCAAAATTTGTACAATTGTCAAAAAAGTTGTCTTTAAAACGCACGAACACCTTCATACAGTCTTAAATAGTCTTTCAGACTAGATTTCTCCACATTTTAGATACATCTTAGATAGCTTCTGAACGTCCCAAGAACAATGAGTCATTAGCAATTTACTGCACGCATGACAAAGTTTCCTTTTTTCTTGGGGATAGTGCAGGAAATATGTACATAAAATTTAGGCTTACAGGCGATTTGCTTTATTGATATATCAGCTACTACTAATTTTTCAATAAAGCAAGTAACATCCCTTGACCATTTATTCTTTTTATCTAAGAGATCATAGAAATATACACTATTTGACCTGAAGTGTGGGCTCTATAACTGATAACACAAAGCAAGCGTGCTGTCCTCTTTACATACATTGTGCGAAACTGTCAAGGCTAGCACGTTGAATCGGAGCTCTTTTTCAGTCTCAATGCTTTTGAGTTGTTTACAGTATTATGGCTTGTTCTATCCAGAGTTTTGTCAATGGATAAATGATAAAGGTACCTCCTCATTTCTATTTATATTGATAATATAGTTCGATGGGAAGCGTGAGCTTTGTGACTGATAAAACATAGCAAGGTGAGTTGCCTTTCTCGCATACATTGAGACAGAGCTAACTCGTTATTTTCCAGTTGTTACATCATTTAGTTTTAGTAAGAGTTTTACAGCACTTGCAACACAATAATATCATATAAGTCTATATTGTTATATATGGCTTTTTCTCCAGTCTTGTTAGTGAACTAAGTCTAATATAGTGTAAAGCGCATAGAGCCTGCTGCTGAGCGGGGATATGCGCTATAAAAATGCTATCTATTATTATTATTATTAAGTCGTCTCTTCATTCTCTTTTACTGACAGTTTTATCGATTGGTCTTATATGACAAGCAAACAACCATCTATCAAAGGTTGTGACCTGTGACATCTTGTACACTGTGGAATTTTCCATAGCATGTGGGATGCATATACTACAGTTAGCAGTTATGGGGTTAAACAGAAACAAGCCATCACCTGATAAGTTAAGGTCAACTAAGCTAATTTTTGTTTTAGTAAGAGTTTTACGGCACTTGCATCACGATCAGGTCATATAAGTACCAAAAATTAGAGATGTTACAGGAGAGTAACAAACACAAAAAAGGAGGAGAGATAACGATAGATGTTTGATAGGAAAGAGGGAGTAAATCAAACCAGAGCGTCCACCAACCACCTACAACTAAAGTTAGGATGGGGCTCCATCCATTTAAGTTTTTACCAACAAAATGTGAAAATATGACAACCCCATTTCTTAGACACAATATAAATATAAAATACGAACTAAAATTGGAAGACCCTACTCATCATACCTGGTCTTCCCACAGTGTACCTAAGTAAGTCTCAAATTTTGTAGTTCCTTTTCAAGTAATAAAACAGCAAAGATACTACCCAACACACCACCAATCTACGTTCAGAGTGTAATAAACAGCCAAGTCAAATACTTACTTATTAGCGTGTGAATGTGAATATCTACAACTTTGGTGCGAAAGAGCTTTCTCAGTTCTTCGTTCAAGTCAGTTTTCAACTTGTTTTCAACATAAAAACGATTCTGAAACAAAAAGGAACAAAAAAAATACACAGTAAACACAAACATTCAAAACAACTGTAAGGATGAAAGACACATTGCCCAACTTTCCTATTGAATGAAATGTATGCAAATGTAATATATAAAAGTTTATAAACAATAACACACTGCATCACTTCAAATACAAACAGAGAATCCTTCAGAAAATACAGGAAAACTGACTAGCAGGTGACAGCTTGAGACATGACAAAAAGAACAAGCAAGAAACAAGATTTTTTAAAAAGATAAAAACCGTAGAAAAGAGGTAACACAGCAAATCCAAAAAAACCCTACAAATTCTATTGTTCTTTGAAAACTCATTGACACGATGGGAAACTGTCAGTTCCAAGCAATATAATTCATGTTCTGCTTCTTTCCCTTTACAATAACAGATTCTTCAACATTGATACATCTTTGTTTTGTCACAGCAATTGTACATTCACAACTTTTAATTGCATAGAAACAGAACAACAAATATATATATTCATCTGACTCACCAAATAATTAAAAATTGGAACAATGCCCGTCAGAGCTTGGATGTATTGGTGCATAAGGAAGGAAAACGTCTCGATGAAAGGGATGGATTCTGTTTCCTGTGTTGATACAAACATTTGATTACTATGAAACTAAGGGAAATATACCTAATTTCAAAGCACAATTCACCTCTATACAAATCTCAGGATCGGCTACTCAGAGCAGTGCCACAGCAGAACAAGTATCCAAACAGGAAACCATAAACTACAAGCCTGCCCTGTGTATGAAGCATTATAAGGAAACATTGGCCCAACCCTAAGAAAGGAGTCCCAAAACTACGGGAGCCCGGAGGACCTGTGGCGAAGAGCAGCCATAACACTAGAGACTGGAATGTCCGTTTAAAGATGAACATGAAGACAAACAAAATAGCTCTACTTCCTAACACATTTCGTTGCGCACATACATGTTTCGTAGCGCACATACGTGTTCCACGTGCTCCACTTAATCCCCAGCTGTCAAAATACTGGGATTCCCCATTTGAAGTGACACCTCTAGAAAATTAACCACAACTTTTCATTGCAGTGGCATCCCTTTAAAATAAATAAGTGGGAAAGAGCACTCTTAAGATAATCTAACAATCAAGCCAAACCATTTAAGTGCTCATAAAAATTTTAATGTAGGTCAGTTGTTTTTTACAGAATGAATGATGGCAAAGCAATCCTACACAGCTGAAAGGCATTACACAAGCTTATCATTGAAAAGGATAAAGAAGAACCTATTGAGAGTGGTTCTGATTCTGATGACATTTATGCAAGTGAAATGCGGGAAGATTCTCATTTAGACAATAATAACACAGATATCAATATTATGAGACTGCTTCCTCAACTAAGTACCACCACTTTTATAGACCTGTGAGAGGACCGGGTGGTGTTAAAACAGGGCATGGTCATGCACATGGTCAATGCAGACAGGGTATGGAAAGGGTTTAGAGAAGAGAAACTGATAGTATAAGTATAGGTTGTAGACGGAGACAGAGAGAAATTTCACAGGCAGTTGTTGAAAGCTACTTTTCACTGGTTATGCCCAAGCATACAAATTTTAGCTTGAAAGTTCCAAAATGTACTTGAGCAGGGGGAAGGGTTCCTGGTGAAGATATCTGGTGCAAAATCTGTTCATAACAGAAAATACCCAGAAAGCCATCCTTTTACAAAAGGAACAGTATTGCCTCAATTTAAATGTCGGCAGAACTAGAACTGAACAAAAAAAATTTCCAATATGAAACTCTGACTATGTTCTGGAAATATTGAACAATTAATTGTAACATTTCTATTTTGACATTTCAAAATATCAACGTAACAGTAACATAACAAAGTCACAAAATACATTTAGTAGATTATGGTTTTAATTTAGAAAATTACCCATTCTCATTCAATTTCGACACATAGAAAAAAATATTCATGAAAACTAACGATTTCCTCTTACCTCCTGGTTTCAGCATTTTTTTTCCACACAGCAAAAAAACTGATTAATAAAGAAACACATCTCATCCTGAGTTTCTTATAATTTTAAAATCAAAATAGAATGATAGGTGTCACAGAAAAATAAAAAAGCTTTAGACTAATTAATCCTGAACAAACTTTGTAACTTGAGTTACATTTTTTATAACAACTTTGAGAGTCCACTAGTAACACTTACATGACTTTTAAGTTCAGCATTCAGATACTCCATGTGTTCAGAAAGGTACCTTAATAAATCGTTGTATAGTCTTTCGGAGAACTGTTTGCATACACATTTATAAACACAGCTGAAAAACAAAGGAAAATTTTTTGGTGAGCACACAAAAATGAAGCTACAAATCAGTGTCACAAAAGAAAATTCACGTTTAAAAAGTTATTACAAATATTAGCTTGAAATTGAAAGGTAAGATGTACTAAAGAAACACTTATTTCTTCTGTTTTATGCCCACATCAATACAATTTAAAATATTTATAAGGCGGGCTTTGACCATGCCTGCCAGGGCCAACCCAGACTGAGAGGGATACAACGTCCCCACACTCATTTCTTTTACATGAGACAGCAAGGGCCTAACAGTTACTCCAGAGACGCTGGAGACGAAAAAGATGAGAAATATAGACAGTGGCCTAAGAACCTGGATATCAGGAAACAAAAAAGTAGGTTCCTAGGTGAATACTGAGAGGCCCCACTCAACTGTTATCAGTTTGCTTCCTAGAGTTATTTCCTTTGACTTTGTTTATCATTGTAACACATAGACGATACTGACACCCAAGGGAAAATCAGTGGGGGGGTCCAATGAATGGGCGTGCGCAAGTGAGTACATGTTGAGTTTTAATTGGGGTCCAAGTGAGAACAGGTAGCTTGATGTTTCTCAGTGAATTTTCATGACGTGGCCAGTCATTTTGATCTAATAGAGTATTGGAACTAAGAAACTGAATTATTTACAAAGCTGCATAAGTGAAGGGAAAGAATTACCAGCAATGGGGCGGGGGCAGCTTTTATTTAAGACAATCAGACACTTTGACCATGTAAGAGGAACAAGTGATTGAACTAATTGTAAACCACTTAGCAACTGACCCATTCTGCAAAGCTCGTGTGTAACAGTGTATGCAGTGAGCAGACATAGTTGTCCGCTAGTCCACTTTGCCCCCGCTTCTTTCATCTGCAACCCCAGTTTCAACACTTTCCAACCCCTTCATTAAAAATGGGACCCAATGCTCACAGATCTAGCAATACATCTGGTGCTGTTTCATATTTTCAGTACAACATTATCAAATCAAGGTGACAATGTCGCATTGGAATAGCCTCTGATGCTCATTGCACTGGCACCTAAAACAATGCATACCTACTCAGTCATGCGCTCTCACAAGGTGACATATTTGATTTTTGACAAAAGTTAAAATCTTCCCTTTGGACGTTAGCATTGTCTAAGGGCCATTATTCTACAAGGGCTGTCCCACGGAAAACCGGAAAAGGTCCATACAAGCAACAATCTTTGTCCTACTATAATAAAAATGTAACACATTATACCTCAACATGTGCTTATTTCTCAATGCAATCACCATCCCACTGGATGCATTTTCCCATCGCTGGATTAGCGAGACGATACCCTCCCTGAAGAATTTTTCGTCAAGAGATTTCAACCAATCTTTCACGGCTTCCACGAGGTCTTCGTCGTTGGTGAATCGCTGTCCAGAAATATGGCGATTCATTGGTCTAAAAAGGTGATAATCTGACGGGGCCAAGTCAGGACAGTGAAGGGGGTGTGGCAGAACTTCCAGCCAAACCTTTGGATCCAGTCTTTCGTAGCGTTTGCGGTATTTGGCATTGTATTGTCATGCTGCAAAATTACCCCGCTGGACAACCGGCCTGGTCTTTTTTTCGGCGCACAACCTCTCTCAACTTATCAAGAGTCAAGCAGTATCTGTTAGCATTAACAGTTTGTCCTGGTTCCAGCATGTCAAGAAGCAGAACACCTTTAGCATCCCAGAAAACTGTGGCCATGAGTTTCTTCACCGATGGCTGAACTTTAAACTTTTTCGGGGGAGGTGAAGTCGTGTGCTTCCAAACCATTGAATCTCTCTTCATCTCAGGGGTCATGTAGTGTATCCAAGTCTCATCACCTGTAATAATGCTTCTCAGGAATTCTTCATCGTATTGTTGGAGGTCTCCAGATGCGTTCATGACTCTCATGACAGCTTGGCGACAACGATTAAACAAAGTCTGAGACACTTCAACACATTGCGTCTTGTGGTCAGCTGTCAGCTCTTTTGGGACCCATTGAGCAGAGACCTTTCGATAGTGCAGCTCATCAAACACTATCCTATGGACACTCGACTTTGAAATGTTTAATGACTCAAAAATTTCGCAAATTTTTAGGCACCTGTCTGTTTGAATGAGCTTGTTAAAAGCCACTCTTGTTGTCCTCAGTCTTGGCAGAAAAACAAGGTCCTGGGTGAACTCTGTCATTGACATCAGTATGCCCAGCTTTGAACTTACTACACCACTCATACACCTGTGACTTTGCTATTACTCTCTCCCCGTAAACTAACTTTATTTCAGAGTGTATTTCTATAGGTTTGAGACCTTTTGCTGTCAAAAACCGAATGACAGACCTCACGTCTACCCGTGACCAATTTTCCAAGGGGGTAGCCATCTTTGGAGAACTGTTGCGTTCGTTCGGTTTGTGCGATGCTCATGGTGCCCAATCGGGAAATTCCTAGATGATTGTTTTACAAGTGTGCGTTTACAGAAGGTGAAAATATTGAATAGTTTTCAAATTACAGCCAAATTCCGGTTTTCCGTGGGACAGCCCTCATATCATAGAATAAAGAAGGTAGGAGCTGTGTTGTTCCTCTCGTAATCTGCTTATGAACTGGGTCCACCTAAGAACCTCCCTTTTTCTGTCTCACAGGGTTCATTGGCATAGACCACTTTATATTGAGATCAATACCTTTCAATGGCACTTTCTAGTCCAACTTTCCGGCAACGTTTTGTAATAACCATCACAAGAACCAGAGCATTTACCTGTACATTTGCTCATAAGAAATTGGTATGTAGGCACCCGGCTTCATGTTCAGTAGCTGATTTATTGCAGTCTTAAGCTCTGGCCAGTAGTATTCCTCATAATCTTTTTCTGTTAAGGTCATCATCACTGAGGGCAAAGAAAAGCCAAGGTAAAAAAAGCTAACAAAAATGACTACATCTGTCAATAATAAAATGCAAGGCATGTTAACTTTGTGAGCTGTATGAGGTTCTTAATTTAACTGAACTCTGACTTTCGGACTTATTTCTGATTACTGACCACATTCTTTCCAAGGAAACAAAAAGTTCTCATTTCCCATCTCACTACAGTATAGTAGTCTCGTCATAAGCACACTCTACCCAAACCGTAAACACGCACTTTCGTCATATTGAAGGGTGTGAGTTTTTTAACACCTTGCCCCCACCGGATGCCGATTGATGACGGTTAGAATTAGAAGTCGTCTCTTTTTCCCATGGGACGCCGATCAGCGACGGTGTGATATAGCAGCAAAAACGTCGAAGGAATTATCCCCTATTAGATGTGTGCACTTGTTAAAGTTCCTTTCTGAATCATTTGCGTGGCCTTTGAGAGCGAAAATCAGTTTGTTTACAACAATTGGGAGTAAAATTTTTGGAAAAATGTCGAGTTGACCTGGCATGCTGCTTTACACTAAAATGAAGTAATGAGCATGAATAACTAGATCTAATGTTTTCAGTTCCGATTCTTATTTCTTCTTTGTTGAACATGTGATTATCAATCATGTTTAAAATTTTCTCAAGGTGCTGAAAATTTCATAAATAATGTTCGGGGGTCTTTTTTGTCCGAGAAACAAATTTAGTTTCTGATGTAGCCAATCTGCACCCTGCCTGGTACATGGGGACAAAGGTTGTGCGCAGGTGGAAAATGTTAAATATATAATCATAATTTAGATGTAATCATGTACAATTGCTTCCTGTAAACACCCTCAAAACATGCTAACAGTAAAGCTTGGTAAAGAAAAATCTTTGCTTACAACCTGGAAAGCCTATATCATGAGAACAAAATCAAGTCTAAATAATTGAATGTCTTCGCACAAAACAGTGAAAGTGACTGACAGCGTGTTTACAACCTACGGACACATAGCCATGTTGGGGGGGGGGAGGGGGTGACTGAAAATTACTGAAAGTACCTTAAGATTGGTCACTCAAAATATGTGATGTTTCTCACTGATGCTTGTATGCCTTTTATATATATGTTAAGTTAGGCCTATGATGCACAACACGCGTGAATGCTGTTGTTGAGCACTAGATAGACCTATGGGAATATTAATGATTTAGTCAAGGGATCAACTGTGCTAAAAAAACTTGTCGGTGTACTTGTTCAACATGTCTCTCAGAATGCCTGACGTCATCCGAGCATTTACTGAGTTGCAACAAATAATAGTACGCAGGAGTGGTCGCTTGGAAAGCTGGCTAGACTGGCAGGCCAGCTGTACTTTTAATAATGATGGCTGAATTGTAAATATAACATTTTAGTTTGCAATACTTAAAGTATTAAGTATTTCAGACGAAACCAAAAGGTGCCTTAAGTACGGTTAGCCATTTCGATACTAGATCTAATGAGACCTGTGTACTCAACAGGTTTTGGTCAAAAGAGCCTAACCTAAGTACGGCTAGACCTGCAGGCTAGCCGTACGTACGACTAGACTGGCAGGCTAGCCGTACGTACAACTAGCCACTTCGATTAAAAAATTACATCAGAACAACATCAAACACATCAACCAACAGAAGATAATAAGACCCTTTTAATATATTTATTTGAAGCAAACACTACACAACACAAACACAGTTTGAAAAATTGTTATTTCAACAAAACATACACTTTTATAGGCATTGAAACATCTCACCACCTCAGAGCACACAAAATTGTGAAACCTGCCATATATACACAGATTGACATTTAGTGCTCATATTCCTAGAGTATCAGAGCAAGGAGATGTAGAGTTTTGGAGATATGGGTCTATTGGTTTGGTAACCACTGTATTTCAATTTCTTGTATGTAACAGGGATGACAAAAACAAATAAGCAGCAAAGCAAATTATAGACTTTAAATTCCATTTGTTTAGTAAACAAAGACTTTGTACACTATGAACTCCATTCATAATGGTAATATGAATGACCAACATTGTAACATTGACGCAGTGCACAGAACATGTCATCATTGTTATGTACAAGAAAGGATATACACATTGGACATTATCATTGACAACATATCACAATAGTGAAAGGCTGTTCAAATACATTATAATCAAAGCCTCAGTACCAGAAAAACACATGCGTAAAACAATTTAAAAACTAATATGAGGCAAAAGCACAAAACCAATGGGGCTGACTTGTACATTATAACAGTGATGACTTTTTACATGACTTGTACAACAACAATGATGACACAATGTACAAGAAAAGACAAAGCCATGCCTCTAGAGAGAAAATGTGCACTCTAAGAAAAAACAAAAAACCCAGGAGAGGTTTCTTTTGCTTAGAAATAGATATCAGGTTATCAACAGGGTTGGTGATTTATTTATTTTTTAAATAAAAATTTTAAAAATCGATTTTTTTTATTTAAATCAAATTTTAAAAAAATTTAAATCAGATTTTTTTAATCTAAATCGGATTTTTTTTATTTTTTTAAAAATGTCGACACAGTTGGGGATTTTTGGTGGCTAAAAGTAGGTTCTTTTAGTGCAAAATGCATTGTCTTTATTTTAACTAATGATTAATTTAAGCAACTGCAAAAGAAAGCCTTAATCTGCTATATCAGTGAATTATGGCTACAGACAAAAAAATGAAGAAAATGTCAGTCTAAAAGGAAGGGGGGAGGGGGTAATTATGCATAGATAAACTTGCATTTTATTACAGTGTGTGTGCACTTGTGTCTAGTTTGTCTAAAAAGAAAAAGAAAATGCTAATTTCAATTATGAAAAAAAAGTAAATTGAATTACTGTATTATTTTACTACTTACAGTGACAGGGGGGGAAAGCAGACTTTTAAGCATGATTATATTAGTCTACTAAACCTTATATCTGTTTTATAAAACCAAGGAAAGGAATTCTGAATGTTTAAAGATGTAAAAACAATACATTTTTTAAAAGTGATTTAAATCACTGAGTTTTATTTTTTTTAAATCAACCCAACCCTGGTTTTCAATTATGAAAAAAAAAGTAAATTGGATACTGTATTATTTTACAGTGACAGTGGGGAAAGCAGACTTTTAAGCATGATTATATTTGTCTACTAAACCTTAAATCTGTTTACTAAAACCAAGGAATTCTGAATGTTTAAATATGTAAAAACAGAACACATTTTTAAAAAAGTGATTTAAATCACTGATTTTTATTTTAAAAATCAAGTTGATTAAAATTTTAAAAATCAACTGATTTAAATCAACCCAGCTCTGATTTCAATTATGGAAGAAAAAGTAAATTGAATACTGTATTATTTTACAGTGACAGGGGGGAAAGCAGACTTTAAAAGCATAATTATATATATATATAAATAATAATAATAGATAGCATTTGTATAGCGCATATCCCCGCTCAGCAGCAGGCTCTATGCGCTTTACACTATATTATTACCCCAGCAGACCATAGAACACTCCGAAACATTCTCAGCTTCCCGGGAAGCATACAGTGCAAGCAGCCAATTAAGCGCTCAAACACTAACAAACTGACAAGATCTTTTGCTGTCTATAGCCGGGTACCCATTCCCACCTGGGTGAAGTGAGGAAAATTTGTGTAAAGTGCCTTTCCCAAGGACACAACGTCGGGCCCTTGACGGGATTCGAACCCACGACCTTTCGGTTGCGAGTCCGAGAGCCTAATATATATACGATCTAGTCTACTAAACCTTCTATCTGTTTTATGATATGAAACAAAGGAAAGGAATTCTGAATGTTGAAATATGTAAAAACTGAATAAAAATAAAAATAAAAATAATTTTTTTTTAAAGTGATTTAAATCACTGATTTTTTAATTTTTTTTAATCAAGTTGATTTAAATTTAAAAAATCAACTGATTTAAATCAACCTGATTTAAATCAACCCAACCCTGGTTATCAAAGGCAGTGGACAATCACAATTATGTTGCTAATTATGACAACCAGTACTCGTACATACATAAACAGTGATGACAAACATACTGGGAAAAGGTAAAATCAAGCCTACAAAGAACAAATTTGCACAACTATGAGATACACAGATCAATAAAGGCATATATTGCTTCTAAATGAATCTTGCATAATATGTATCAAATATATTTTGGAAACTTATTGATTTGCAATGATGACAAATATTACTTGTACACAATGATGACACAATGTATTGGGAAAAGGCATCACGTCAACAAAGAACAAGTGTACTTTTGAGTCAGACAGTATAAACAAGGACTTTATGTGTTTGAGTTTAAAGAGAGCACACATGATTTGCAAAATGTTTGCTCTTAGTCTAAGGACAATGTAATTTTTCTAGTACGTCAGTCAGTCATGTGCGGCTGCATGACAACATCCAAAACGTCATCACTAAGCACAAAAGGTAAATCTATAACCACAGAAATGACCCATCTCTCGAAGTTTGTTCACATCTCACTCTTGTTCCAGGAATCCAATGTAAACACAGCAATTTCACTAAAACATTCAACAGGGTAGCCTAAAAACACGCCAAACATTCCTGTACGTCACATTCAACGTAAGATTCTTGTGCGTCACCAGATGCTGACAAAAGACTACTTTCGTTTTTCTCATTCCGCCGTTGCTTCCGCTGTTCTGGGGAAGCGGGTTAGGGGAAGTCACTCAAGAAAACAATTATATCCGGGAACTGTAGATGATCCGTTCAAAACAAAAGTGGGCCAAAATTCGGACTTCCGGTACGTCGCAAAGTGACGACGATCACGGCGAACGTTAAACAGCCGACCGAAATCATAGATCTAGGAACCCGATGTTCCTTTCACGTTCCACAGCTTTTGAAGAATTGAAATTTAAACAACGAAAAGCAAAAAGATTTAACCAGCTATGGTGATTCTACTGAAAAATTAAAATGGGTGTTTTCTGAAACACATAGTCAATGACGACACGACGAACGCACAAGTGATCCGAATTATTTTGCAAACAAATAAACCGATTTTTTGAGCAAGTGAACCTTTCTCGAAGACAAATAGCATAGGATCAAAGCACACGTTAAAAAAACCCACCCAAAAGTACTAAATTTTGGACACTCTTGGAAGTTTGCATAGGTGTGCTCAAAATGACAGTCCAGGAATCACTAAAAAATGAACATTTTTGGCACAAAATTTACACACTCAAGATTGTAAAGCTGACACAGGGTCTGAAACTGCTATGCAGGTTCTACATCCTATACTATATTTGACATGTCTATAAAAGTTTTGGGGGAATAAATGCTAATGCATCCCACTTTTATGCACACTAATGTAAGATGTGTTTTTCCTCACATTTTGGCAATGGCTCGAACACACAGACACAGGCCTCTGCCGTGCACAAAGTGACAATATATGTAGGCCTACAAACAATAAAATAAATTACAGGCTGAATCAATCATATAGAGTTAGATTCTAGATCTATAATGTAAGGCTGTCATTCGAGTCCGAATAACATTTTTTCATATATACATATATATATATATATATATTCTTATTCAGACTCAAGTCCGAATATGATAAAATGTTATTCGGACATGGGTCCGGAAAAAACGAAGTGTCTTCGTTCTATAGATCTAACGTTCAGTGCTTCCAATTATCCGCCATTTTTTAGTTTCCCCACACCCCATGTTTCCCACTTTTATGTTGTAGAAAAAGGTAAAATTGAAGATTAGCAGACCACCTGGCACCTGCATATTATGAGCTGTGTAAAAAAAAAAGACCGATTCGTTCAAATACACAAGACTGTGTGATCTCGATTGTTTACCAAGAAAAAGTTGTGTTGCTGTTGTGTAGAGCCGAGCATACGGCAACTTTTGATTCCATAGAGTAGACCAGCGCACAATTCATACGCAGATCTACGTCAAGACTAGCCTTATTATTGTAATAATGATCAGTTGC